ATGCGGAAAGAGCTTCAGTCAGAGCGCCCATCTCACTTCCCATCAGATAACTCACAGTGGAAAGAAACCCTATCAGTGCGTGGAATGTGGAAAGAGCTTCGGTTGGAAAGAAAGCCTCACTTCCCATCAAAAAATTCATGCACGGAAGAAGCCATTTCGGTGCTCGGAATGTGGAAAGAGCTTCACCCAGAAGCAAAATCTCACAGCCCATCAAAAAACTCATACAGGGGAGAAACCCTATCAGTGCTTGGAGTGTGGAAAGAGCTTCAGTCAGAGCGCCCATCTCACTTTGCATCAGAGAATTCATTCAGGGACAAAACTATATGTTTGCTCTGAATGTGGAAAGAGCTTCAGTGAGAGCGCCCATCTCACTTCCCATCAAAGAACTCACCGGCCAAATTACAGAATCGTAGGATGGTAAAGTTGGAAGTCACCACCATGGTCATCTAGTCCAACTCCCTGCAATGCCGGAATCTCCACTACAGCATTCCATGACAGATGGACACCCAGTATCTCCTGAAAAATCTTCAGTGAAGGAGAGTCCACTACTTTCCACGGTTGTCTGTTCTACTTTCCAATGGCTCTCTTGTAACTGCATCAGGAAAATGATGAGATCCATCTAGCATGACTAGTTTTTGAGAAACTCAATGCTGTGTCTTAATAATCACAGCATTCTTTTTAATTCCTCACAAGCCAACCATTTAATTATCTGTTCTAGAACCTTTCCTGGTATCCATGCCAAGCTTGAGCGTTCAGTAGTTACCTGGGTCTTCTCCCCACACCCTTTTATATATGTCAATATTTGCCCTTCTCTAGCCTGCAGGGACCTCATCTGTTCTCCAGGAATTCTCAAAGATTATAGACATAGTGCCTGAGATTGCATAAGCAAGTTCCTGTAGTACCCTTGGGTACAGCACATCGCCCTGGAGATTTGAATTTATTTAAAGAAGCTAGATGTTCCTTTACCACCTCTTCCTATCCTGGGCTGCAGTTATTCTGTTAACACCGGGTTCGACACGGCTTTCCTTTTGGGTGAAGACAGGGGCAGAATGGCTATTCCGCCTTCTATCACTTAATAGCATTTCTGCGTCTTCTCTATGAAGAGGACCTGCTCCTTGCTTGTTCTTCCTCTTGCTTCAAAGATAGCCGAAGAAACCCTTTGAGATTAGTTTTAACCTCTCTTCCAAGCCTGAACTCATTTTGAGATTTGGCCTGCCTGACCTTCTCCCTGCAACTTTTGGCTCCTGGAGAATACTCTTCCTTCTTTGTGAGTTGCCCTTTCTTCCATTTGTTATCCATCCCATATCAGAGGAACCATATCAGTGTGTGGTGTGGAAAGGGTTTCAGACAGAGGGCCTGTCTCATGGCCCATGAAAGAATTCATACAGGGGATGGGACCAGATCAATGGCTGTGTACAAATTTAAACTTAAGAAATTTGAATGATTCTGTGGGTGAGCACTGCAACAGTGTCATCTGGCAACCTAGCAAAGAAGCTGACTTTTCTCTCAAAGCTATAGAGTACACAACCAGTGTCCAGTCTTTCTTCAGACTACATACTCAGGTCTCGGAGGTGCAAGTCATGGGTTCATGGTACTGAATACCTTCTCCACATCCATCACATCTGGAAAGAGGGTGAAGAGCAATATGGCAACACTGCTGAGATAACCCTCAGTGCCGAGCTCTTAAAAGAAGTTGGCAAGCGATTTGTGTACTTTAGGAACCTCCAGTTGCAAATTTGCGGTGCTCCTGACCCGCCACTGTTCTCCTTGGCATGCCCAGGGTGGGGGCAGTGCCCCCTTTGAAGCTGTTTCCTGGTATCTGCTGAGCACTCCCAGGTCATCTGCCAGAAAAGCCAGAAGTTTCAGGCTTTCCTATGTGAGAAGCTTAAGTCAAGGATTCCCTTGCTGCTGTCTTCCTTCGATTATTCCAAAGTACATTCTGAGCGGGTGCCAGGATTGTACCCCTGAGGAAGAAAGAGTTACTTGTTCATTGTACTCAAAGGTGCTTGCGAGCAATGCCAAACACATTTGTTTCCTTCAGCCAACCCCAGTCCTCATCCGCACACATCCAATACATGGATGAAGCCTTAAATTGAACCAGAATTCCAAACATCTTATCCCAGTGTGGCAGCATCTGAGACCTTTTCCCAGGCCATGTGCACAGAGTACCAGATCTCAACCGGTGGGACATTTTTGCCTGTGTCTCGCATCTATTCCTTGAACAGGGGACCCTGTTCTGCTTTCCCCCCAGTGCGAACTGAGACTCTGTCGCAACGGACCAGGTATTTCTGGAATCATGCCGGGTGTGTGTGTCTCCAAGGCCTTGTAACCCTCTTCCCATGAACCCCTGAGCTCCAGAGATTGTCGGTTCTCGCACTCCCAAAAAGTCTTGCTCCTTTTCTCAAGGTTTGGAAACTGCTCTGCCCAATGTATAACTTTTCTTTATGTGTATCCAGTCTGCCAATCTTATCACCTGTGGTTCTTTCCCATCAGCTATTATTGAGTGCTAATGTCTTTATTGCAACATTAAAATATATTGCAAAATACATGGATGGTTCTGGTTGCATATCCTGTTGCGAAGCCCCTAAGGACCCTCTGAAGAGCATGAACTCTCCAGAGACTCCAGGGGAAGCCAGCTTTCTGGGTGAGTAGGAGTAGGAGTCAGGATAGGATCACTTCTTCACTGCAGAGCCTGGCTGTGAGATCCAGCCCACCTCTTCCAGCACCCTCTTCTCATAGTGGCCAAATGCCCCTAAGAGCCCAACTTCATGTGCCACCTCCAGGGGAAGTCAGGAGGGTGGTGACACAAGAAGGGGTCTTTTCTGCGGGTTCGATCCCCAAGAGCTACGTGTTCCTGCATTGCAGGGGGTGGGACTAGACAATCTCAGGCTCCCTTCCCACTGGACAAGTCTATGATTCTGTGATATCTCAGGTGTTGTGTGAAAACATTCCTCTTCTCCCAGGCCTTCAGCTATTTTTTGTTTGTTTGTTATGCAAAACAAAACTTTTTTGAAATAATTTTTATTTGGTTTTACAAGTATGAAATTATAACAATACAGCCAAACACATCCATATTTAAAGATTCCTCCGAATTTCAGGACTTCGCACCTTCCCAGTACATTTCTGAGCACAATTCAAATTGTTGGTGCTGACCTTTAAAGCCCTAAATGGCCTCAGTCCTGTATACCTGAAGGAGCGTCTCCACCCCCATCGTTCTGCCCGGACACTGAGGTCCAGCTCTGAGGGCCTTCTGGCGGTTCCCTCACTGCGAGAAGCCAAGTTACAGGGAACCAGGCAGAGGGCCTTCTCGGTGGTGGCACCCCCCCTGTGGAACACCCTCCCACCAGATGTCAAAGAGAACAGCTACCAGACTTTTAGAAGACATCTGAAGGCAGCCCTCTTTAGGGAAGCTTTTAATGTTTAATAGACCACTGTATTTTAATACTTTGTTGGAAGCCTCTCAGAGTGGCTGGGGAAACCCAGCCAGATGTGCGGGGCATAAATAATAATAAATTATTATTATTATTATTATTATTATTATTATTATTATTATTATTATTATTTCCCTCCATGGGTCCTACGGTGAACTTTATCTGCATATTATTCAGTAGTCCATGTTTAATGTCACTCCATTTTCTCTATAGTATATATGGTATTTTACACTGGGGAAGGCATTGTTTTGTTTGTTACCATGATATGCATTTTTGGGTTTTCATTTTGTAAACTGCGCTGTGATCCTTGGATGAAGGGCGGTATAGAAACTCAATAAATAATAATACAATAGGAGTCGAGATAGACTGCCTCTGCTGCTGAAGGTTTCACTCTGAAGAACATAAGAAGAGCCCGCTGGATCAGGCCTGTGGCCCCTCGAGTCCAGCACCCTGTTCTCACAGGGACCGACCAGAGACCCTATTATGGGAAACCCTCAAACAGAACCCAAGAACTGGCTGCTGTTTCCACCAAATTCAGAAGCACACCAATTTGGAACCAGTTCAGAGTCAATGGGACAAGGTTGGGTTTTGGGCCATTTACTTGTCATCCTTGTTTGGGTGTCGATTACTCAGTTTGGGGGAAGGCACAAAATGGGTTCACAGCACAAGACTGGCACCAGTTTGGAGTCAATAGGTGGATTATTTTGGCATTTACCTGTATCATCTGCTCAGTTTAGGGGACAGCAGGAAACATGGGAGTTCGCATTACAAACGACCATTAAACTTTGGCATCAGGTTGGGGGAATCTGAAATTTCGGACCAATGGAGCTGTATTCTTTTGGGAATTATGGGGTCAGAACTACCTAAATCGTATAGAGATTTATTTATGTCTGCTACTACAGAAGCAAGAATGTTGCTCGCCCCAAAATGGAAAGAAGCAGAAATCCCAGCAAAGGAAGAATGGATACCAAAAACTTAAGAAATATGCAGAAATGGTGAAACTTACTGGAAGAATAGGAAATTGAGATAAAATTTTTATAGAAGAATGGAAATGGTTTGTTGGATATTTACAGATAAATTGCAAACAGATAAAAACATTAGCATGATTATTGTATTAACCTGCAGTTATATTTAAAGTAGATAAACAAGTGAGCAAATTAAATGAAATTGGATATGCAGGAGGTGCATTTCCTCAATTTTACTAATTTTTTCCTTAATTTATACATTTCCTTAATTTTCCTAACATTTCAAATCTTCATTCCCCCCCCCCTTTCTGCGGTTCCTTAAAGTTATTATATATAATATATACATTTCCTTAATTTTCCTAACATTTCAGAACTTGACTTCCCCCTATTTCTGCGGTTCTTTAGTTATATTATAACTTTAAGGAACCGCAGAAAGGGGGAAGGAAGTCAAGTTTTGAAACGTTACAATGACTGTAAAATTAAGGAAATGTATCAACCTGAAAAGTGTTTGGTTTTAAATAAAAAATTAAGGAAATGTATCAACCTGAAAAGTGTTTGGTTTTAAATAAAAAATTAAGGAAATGTATCAACCTGAAAAGTGTTTGGTTTTAAATAAAAAATGTGGCTGTATTGTAGCTACATCCCGGCCTCTGATCCCGGCGGGGAGCCCTCTCCACGGATTTGCCTAATCCTTTGGAAGCCCCCTCCCCTCCCCGGCCCCCCATTGTTCTGTCGGGGGTCCCGCGCCCTCTCCCTCCTGCCCCCCGGGCTTTGTTCTCGATTTGGAGAGGCGGCGAGGCTCGGCTCCGGCTCCGGGAGAGGGAGGCTGCCTTCCAGCCCGCCGTGCGCCCCGGGAGCCTGGACGGCGCGGACGGGAAGGAAGGCGCTTTGGGGGCGCGGGGCGCCGTCCCCTCTCCCAGCAGCCCGGCAGGTAGGGGAGGGCGCGGAGGGGCGCCCGGCGCGGAGCTGGGAGTCTCCGCGAGGCCCGGCTCGACGGGGCGGGATAAAAAGGCGGCGCCGGCTCGCAGCGCCTCCCCGAGCGCCCTTTGCACTCCGACCGGCGGAAGCGGAGGCTACGCGGCTGCGGCCGCCCAGCCTGGCCGGGGATGGCGGCGCTGGCGGGGCGCCAGGTACCGGCAGCCCTCGAGGGGAGGCGCCCGCCCGCCCGGCCCGGGAGGCGTCGCAGCGCCAGATGTTGCCGCTGCTGGAGAGCCTCCGAGCCCCGGGAGGCTGCGCGCGGCGGCGGCGTCCAGGCGCGCTGGGGGATGCGGGAGCCGAGGGGGCGCCCGCGGGGGAAGGGAAGGGGAAGCCCCTCCTCTGCAGCGGGCCCGAGGGCCTTGGCGCTCCAGCGTCTCTTCCGGTGGAGAGCGGGCGACCTCCGGTTGGGGGGCAGCAGGGGTGCCAAATCGATTAAAATATTGGGGGGCGCCCAGGTAAGCCCCACTCCGGGATAGATGGATTTCTCTAGCCAAGAGAGTTACTGAGATTGAGGCCTGCCTGAGCTCTGGGCTCCTAATCTATGGGGAAAGCCGCTCTGCCCATGCTCAGGAGCACCATTTCATTTATCACTGGCCCCTCTTGTTCACTGTTGCTTCCCTTGCTGTGGGGCCGAAGCCCAGCCCGGAAAACAAGGCAGGGGCCAGAATCCAGTTACAAGGGAGGAGATTCTGACTAAACCTTTTGAAGGCCAGACCAGAAGGGGCTCCCTTGGAGGTGGCCGACTCCCCTTCCTTGGGGGCTTTTAAGCAGAGGTTGGGTGGCCATCCCTGCATGCTTCTTGAGATTCCTGCCTTGCAGCGGGTTGGTCTGGATGACCCTCAGGGTCCCTTCCAACTGTACAGTTCTTTGATCTACAGGGGTTGTGTCAAGAGGTTCCACAGCCCCTGGCCCTGCGAGTTCCAGGGGGTCTGTGAACCCCCCTCGTGTCTCGCGATGGGAAGAGATTTCTCTAAGGAGTCAGGTCCCCCTTTTCTTTCTTTCTCTCAGCTTCCAGTGACCTTTGAGGATGTGGCCGTCTATTTCTCCCCAGAGGAGTGGCCCCTGCTGACGGACTGGCAGAGGGACCTCTACTACGATGTCATGCAGGGCAACTTTGAGCTGGTGGCTTCACTGGGTGAGCATCTTGGGGGCAAAGCATCTCCAGGGCCCCAGGGCCAGCGTTAGAAACGCAGATACAGGTGAAACTCTGAAAATTAGGATATCGTGGAAAGGTTCATTTATTTCCGTAATTCAACTTAAAAGGTGAAACTAATATATGAGGTAGACTCATGACATGCAAAGCGAGATATGTCAAGCCTTTATTTGTTATAATTGTGATGATCATGGTGTACAGCTGATGAAAACCCCAAATTAACAATCTCAGAAAATTAGAATATTTAATGAAACCAGCAAAACAAGGATTGCAAATAGAGCAATATTGGACCTCTGAGAAGTAGAAGCATGCATATGTACTCAGTACTTAGTTTGGGCCCCTTTTGCATCAATTACTGCCTCAATGCGGCGTGGCATGGGTGCTCTCAGCCTGTGGCACTGCTGAGGTGTTATGGAAGACCAGGATGCTTCAACAGCAGCCTTCAGCTCTTCTGCATTGCTCGGTCTCATGTCTCTCATCTTTCTCTTGGCAATGCCCCACAGATTCTCTATGGGGTTCAGGTCAGGCGAGTTTGCTGGCCAATCAAGTACAGTAATCCCATGGGCATTGAACCAGGTTTTGGTACTTTTGGCAGTGTGGGCAGGTGCCAAAGTCCTGCGGGAAAATGAAGTCAGCATCCCCATAAAACTCATCTGCAGAAGGAAGCATGAAGTGCTCCAAAATCTCCCAGTAGACGCCTGTGTTGCCCTGGACTTAATGAAGCACAGTGGACCAACACCAGCTGATGGCATGGCTCCCCAAATCAACACTTCACATTGGACTTCAAGCATCTGGCATTGTGTGCCTCCCCATTCTTCCTCCAGATTCTGGGTCCTTGGTTTCCAGATGAGATGCAAAAGCTGCTCTCATCAGAAAAGAGATTTGGAGAAATCTATTATTATTATTATTATTATTATTAATTTAATTTAATTTTTATACTGCTTTATATTTGAAAGAAAAACAACCTCAAAGCGGTTTTACAACCCATTAAAACATTGAGCGTAAAACAAATTCACGCTTCGAGGAAATTATTTCCGATCCTTCTCTAAGAGACATTTTGCTTTCCCCATACAGTCGTACCTTGGAAGCCGAATGGAATCCATTCCAGAAGTCTGTTTGACTTCCAAAATGTTTGGAAACCAAAGCGCCGCCTCCGATTGGCTGCAGGAGGAAGCTGCGTCGGATGTTCGGGTTCCAAAGCGCCTTCGCAAACCTGAACACTCACTTTTGGGTTTGTGATGTTTGGGAGCCAAAACGTTCGAGTCGCAAGGCGTTCGGGATCCAAGGTACAACTGTATTTATTTACCTAAATTTATAAAGCTGCCCCATAGCAGGCGCTCTAGGAAGCCAGGGTGGAGCAGTGCTTAGCGTGTCGGACGAGGGCCTGGGTTCGAATCCCCACCGGGCCATGAAGCTCTCCCTGGTGATGTTGGAGCCAGCCACAGCCTCTTAACCTAGGGATTAACAGTGGAGGTGGGGGGGGTGGACCATGGGATATGAATGCAGACATGGAAAATGTTAATGCTCAGAGTAATGGAGGTAGCTCAAACGTCATCAAGGCCAGACCCACTGATGCGTAAGACCCACTGCTGAGGCCTGCCTGAGAAGAGACAATCGAAGCTTTGCTCAAAAGCCTCTGGCAAGGGAGACTCCGCCCCTTTTCCCAGGGATGGAAATGTGGAGACGTGTGTTTAAAAAGCAGCAGTCATGGATTTTGCAATTTACTGCATCCCAGTTGGGGCCTCTCCTCTTCTGGAATATTTCCCTGGTCGGGGTGATTTGTGATCTCGGCCTATTACCAGCGTGACAAATCTATTTATTTCAAGCTGTTGCATTTGTAGCCCAACTTTTTCTTCAAGGAGCTCCAGGTGCTGTACGTTTTTAAAAAAACAAAAAACAAAGGGGCCATACTCTGCTTTTATTTGCTAATTACATACATTTTATTGTTATTTTTAACAACGCTTAAACAACACAGAATAAAAATAAACATGAGAACATAAAAAGGAGACAGGGATACGACATCACTATAAGATTCACAGTTACAATTCCATAGAGTTTAATCTAATATATAGATATTATTATCCAAATAGATATATATTTATTTTTAACCTTGCTATATTTTGTATAAATGTGCTCCAGTGTGAGGTTGAGAGAGAGTAACTGGCCCAAGGTCACAGTGAGCTTCATGGCTGAGTGGGAATTTGAAGCCTGGTCTCTGTCTCCAGGGCCCCAGTCTGACGCTCTAACCACTGCTCCACACTGGCTGCCTTATGAACAAGGAACATGGGAGGAAGTCCCTTACTGGGCAAAGTGCAAACCCCACATCCTCACTTGCCCATCTGCAAAATGGGAATAGCAGTGGCTTAATTCAGAGGAGCTGGGCGCTGAAGGAAATAACATCTGAAAAGAGTGAGATAAGGCAATGGCCTTATAGCTATTGGAACTGGGATTCCCACAAGAGGTTTTGGGGCCTGATGTTCAAAACAGATGTAAAGTGGTACCTTGGAAGTCGGACGGAATCTGTTCCAGAAGTTCGTTCGACTTCTGAAAACGTTCAGAAACCAAGACGCGGCTTCCGATTGGCTGCAGGAAGCTCCTGCAGCCAATCGGAAGCTGCGTCGGGTGTTTGGGTTCTAAAGAGCCTTTGCAAACTGGAACACTCACTTATGGGTTTGCGGCGTTGGGGAGCCAAAACGTTTGAGTCGCAAGGTGTTCAGGATGCAAGGTACGACCGTATATTTAAGGAGAAACCGGAGTGTGCACAGGTGCAGTTTTCTGGATACTGTCTGTGCAGGGAAAGGATGCGCAGGAGAGAATTTCACTGCCAATCCCAAGGAGGCTCTTCTGCACAGGTCTTCCTGGCGGCGGCTACGGGGAGTTGTAGTCCTCAGTGCCTGGACAGCACCAGGCTGACAAAGGCTGCCTTTAAGTGCACGCACTTAAGGTGGAAAACCTGCCCTGCCTCAGAGGCGAATGGAGGGCAGAGCGACTGGTTCTGTCCCCCTGGGGCGCTGCAGGGCATCACAGCTATGATGTAGTGAGCAGAATGGAAGGCAAGAGGAAGGGGGTTCCGAATTTTGGCCTCGCACAGGGTGCCCCTGGAATTTGAAAGACCCAAGCCTGCCCACGCCAGGAGCTCCTGCACCCCTCGGAAAGGCAAGGTCTTCTTTTGTCCATTCTCTTGCTGCTAGCAAAGGCCGACTTTTCTTTCTTTGCTGTCTGTCTGCACACAGGAGCTGTTCCTCCCAGACCGGAGCTTCTGTCCCGGATTGAGCGAGGGGAAGAGCCCGGCATTGTGGGTCGCCCTGGGCAAGGGGACAGAGACGCCCAGGGGAGTGCCAGTGCTGGTGAGTATAGAATCCTAGAATTGTGCGGCTAGAAGGGACCCCCGGGGTACCTGCAAAGAAGGAATCTCAGCTGAAGAATCCCTGAGACAGATGTTCAACCAAGAGGGCCAGATTCAGACTTTAGAGCCCATAATAATAATCATTTATTAATACCCATCTGACTGGGTTGCTCCCACTACTCTGGGCAGCTCCCAACAAATATTAAAACATGATAATACATCAAACATTAAAAACTTTCCTAAACAGGGCTGCCTTCAGATGTCTTCTAAAAGTCAGATAGTTGCTTATTTCCTTGACATCTGATGCAAGGGTGTTCCACATGGTAGGTGCCACCACTGAGAAGGCCCTCTGCCTGGTTCCCTGTATCCTCACTTCTTGCAGGGAGGGAAGTGCCAGAAGGCCCTCAGAGCTGGACCTCAGTGTCCAGGCTGAATGATGGGGGTGGAGACGCTCCTTCAGGTCTACTGGGCCTTTGAGGCCGTTTAGGCCTTTCAAGGTCAGCACCAACACTTTGAATTATGCTTGGAAATGTACTGGGAGCCAATGTAGGTCTTTCAGGACCGATGTTATATGGTCTTGGTGGCTGCTCCCAGTCACCAGTCTAGCTGCCGCATTCTGGATTAGTTGTGGTTTCTGGGTCACCTTCAAAGGTAGCCCCACGTAGAGCGCATTGCAGTAGTTCAAGCAGGAGATAACCAGAGCATGCACCACTCTGGCGAGACAGTCCGCGGGCAGGTAGGCTCTCAGCCGGCGTACCAGATAAGGCTGGCAGACAGCTGCCCTGGACACAGAATGGATCTGCGCCTCCATGGACAACTGTGAATCCAAAATGACCCCCAGGCTGCATACCTGGGAGCCCCCATACAGATCTCATTCAACTTACAAATGACAACCTAAGACCCAGGGGCCGATGTGGCCCAATCGCCTTCTCAATCTGGCCTGTGGATGGTCTGGGAATCATCGTGTTTTTACATGAGTAGAATGTGTGCTTTTATTTAAAATGCATCTCTGTGGTGCATAGGAATTCCTTCATTATTTTTCCCCAAAATATAGTCCGGCCCCCCCAGAAGGTCTGAGGGGTGGTGGACCGGCCCATGGCTGAAAAAGGTTGCTGACCCCTGATTCCACTTTATTTATATTTGGAAAGAAAATCTCTTACTTTTTCTAATTGCTCAGATCCCGAAAACTGATCTTTGGTCACATACCTGCTTCTATACTTAGTAGAGATCTAGGCACCCGGCCTGCCCTGTGGCAGAGTTGCTTCTGTTGGGATTTTTAATAGACTTCAAGTGAGAACGCTAAGGCTCCACTGAGCAATTTGTGACCATTGATGTTAGAAATCTGGCAGGGGAAATTTTCCATGGTGCCTCCCTTTCCCTTGATGTCCTACGCAGGTGCTCATTTTGCTTCATTTTGGCAACCAACCTCTCTTTTAAAAACCTCCAATGAATCAGAGAATCGTTGCGCTGGAAAAGCAGCCGGAGTGCTGGGCTGGATGGGCCAATTTTCCACCCTCCAACCTTTCCCAGGGAATGTCCAGGGAAAGAGGGACATTCCGTTCTGCGGCAGGAAGCCTTCTCCTGCGTTTGATCTGGTGACGCACCCAGGCGTCGTCCTGGACTCAGAGGTATCGGTCACCTTGAACCAAGGACAACCTCACCTCCCTCGCAGGAGTGTTGTAAAGAAAACATGTGCGAGGGATGGGATCATTTACAACACCTCCCACAGATCAATGGAATGAAGAAAAGCCCGTCAGGAAAATCATCATCATCATTGAAACACTAGGAATATTCAGGAACATACCAGAGAGTAAATCTTACTGAACTCATTGGGATTGCAGTGTAAGGATGCCCAGCCTTGACCTCATTACCTGGGAGTCAGCTCCATTAAAAACAGTGGGATTACTTCTGAGTAAACAGAGCAGTTCCGAAGGAATAAACACTCCCTGCGTTTCCTCGGAAATGTCTGGCTGCGCAAGCAACGCAGTGAAAGAATTTAAAATAGATTGGGGACCTTTTCCTTCAAAATTGCAGGGAGGGTTTCTTATGCCAACTTCACCCTTCATTCAGTGCAGGGATTTTATTATTGGTATAAACAGAACTCTATTTTTGCACCTACACACGCCACTTTTAGAGCGGCTGGAAAAAGGAAAAACGGGACATTCTAGGATCAAATCAGAATCTGGGACAGCTTCTGTAATTCTGGGACTGTTCCTGGAAATCCAGGACACTTGGAGGGTATGGGGTGGCCTGATCCAGCAGGTTCTCCTTATGTAGGTTTTATGTCTTCGACTCCATTCCCAGACTTGGGTTTTGCACCTTCTTCTTCCCGCAGGAGAGTCGAGCATGAGCTGGCGGAGCAGTCGAGCACCGGAGTTGGCGATGAAGGAGGAGCCGAGGGGGGACTGGAACCCGCCTCCCTCCCCTCCCTGGTCCCTCTCGGGACCCCAGTTCCTTGCCCTCCAAGAGCTGTGCCCCACTTGGTGCCAGGTGGAGCTGACAAACATCCGGAGCCTTGCCCAAGAGGGGCCTCTGGAGACTGGTGCGCTGCAGGAGCCCCAGCTGCTGATCTGTGGCGAGTGCGGGAGGAGCTTTGAGGACGGGGGCTCCCTGGCGGACCACCAGGCCACCCACGAGGAGCAGAAGGGTCCCTTCGCCTGCTCTTCCTGCGGGAAGCTCTTCCTCTACCGCCTCAACCTCCTGACCCACAAGAAGCACCGGGCGAAGGCTCAGCTTGCCTGCGCCCCCTGTGGCCTCCGCTTCTGCCTCAAGGGGGACCTCCTGCGCCACCGGGCCAGCCACACCGCCAAGGAACTCTACCCTTGCGGCACTTGTGGCGAGGTCTTCCAGCGCAAGGCCCACCTGCTGGCCCACGAGGCGGTGGAGCATGCTGCGAGGGCGGGCCGTGACTGCCCTGAGTGCGGGGAGGCCGTGGGCGGGGAGGCGGAGCTCGCGCAGCACCTGGCGGCGCACCATGAGGAGCGCCACCCCTTCGCCTGCGCCTTGTGCCCAGAGACCTTCAGCTGGAAGGAGGGCCTGCGGCTGCACCAGCGGGCGCATGCCCAGGAGGAGGGCCACCGCTGCCCAGACTGCGGGAAGAGCTTCAGCCGCCGCGGGAACCTCCTGACCCACCAGCGCCTGCACACCGGGGACCTGCCCTTCACCTGCCCAGAGTGCGGGCGCGCTTTCCCCACCAACGTTGCCCTTGTGGCTCACAGCAAGATGCACCTCCGGGGCAAGACTTTCGCCTGCCAGCAGTGCGGCGGCTGCTTCCGCTCGCGGGAGAAGCTCCTCCAGCACCAGAGCCACCACAACGGGCGGCCGGAGGAGGACGGGGTCAAGGAGGAGGGCGAGGCGTAATGCCCCCGTTCTGCCTGTAGGTGGAGCAAGTCAGACTCGGGGAATCCCTCTCTCTCTCTCCATTATCTCGGACTTGTCATAAATCTGTTTTTCAAAAACGCACCTTGACTGGTTTGTTTTGTTTGTTGTCTCTGCTTCCCACCTTCTTCTTTTAAAAAAATTTTTTAATTCATTTTCCCTTTTCATTCATTACATGCATCTCAAATTCTTAACATTTTCTATATATCCCTCCCTCCCTCCCTTCCAGGGCTTCCCCCAACATCCGCTTCTGGTTCATTTCTCTTTTCACCCACTTTGCTGTCTCCTAACAGAAAAAAATTATTAATAACATAACATCCAGCCTAAAAACAGAAAAATAGAAGTAAATACACCATAATATTTCACCATCTTCTAAACATTTTCTAATACTAATAATGTAAATGTTTATTTAAATCCTGCCAGCAAGTCTATTGACTTTCTTTGTTCCTGCAAATATGGTTCCCATTCTTTTTCACTGTTGTCTCTTTCTCTTCATCTGTCTGTCGTTTTTGCCAAGTCTGCACAGTTCATCAACTTCTCTTGCCAGTGTTCTTTAGCTGGTACTTCCCCAGCCTTCCAATTTTGTGCAATCAACGTTATTGCTGATGTAGCGGCATTTGGCTTCCCGCCTTCGTTCCAAGCTCAGGCTTCTCCTCTGTGAAGTGGCTGAGGATGAGAGAAGGCAGGGAATGGCTGCCAAAGTCATGCCCAGGGAGCGCCATGGCCAAGTGGCCGGATTTGAACCCTGCTCTCTCCCAGGCCCCAGGCCGACACTCTGGAGCACAATATCACACCACCCTGCATGTTCACCTGAGGTCCTTGGGGGGCTGGGTGGGGCCTGGCGGGGGGAAGGTGGGGTCCAGAGATGCAGGGAGCCTTGTGCCCACCAAACACCTCCAGGGGTGATCACATTTCCTCTTTATGCACCCCAAGGTGTATTGCAACTTCACCCTTCCAAGGCAAGCGTTCTGGGCAGCTGTGGAGGGTTATTGCACATCTTCCGAGGGGCCTCTCTCTGCCTTTTTGCTCCCTTGGGGAAAACATGTGATATCACACGGGAAACCTGTAATAAAAGAACCCACTGCTGCCTTCTCCAGCACTTTAGCCTACTCGGGAATCAAAGGTTTTGTGTGTCTTTTGCAGGAAATGCCTACTGTTTCTCATGCATTTTGCAATCCCTCGGGAACCAAGTGCCAAAGGGAAGACTTGGGCCAATTTCGTAGAAACTTAAGAGTTGGGACACCCAGGGTCATCTAGTCCAACCCCCTGAAATGCAGGACTCTCAAGCAAAGCATCCCTGACAGATGGCCATCCAACCGCTGTCTAAAAAGCTCCAGTCGAGGAGAGAGAGACCGTTCCACCGGCAGAAAGATCTTCCTGCTGTTTAGTCAGAATCTCCTTTCTTGTGATTTTAATCCAGCGGTTCTCAACCTGTGGGTCCCCAGATGTGTTGTTGGACTACAACTCCCATCATCCCTGAGCTCTGGCCTTGCTAGCTAGGGATGATGGGAGTTGTAGTCCAACAACATCTGGGGACCCACAGGTTGAGAACCGCTGATCCATTGGTTCAGGGTCTTGCTGTCTGGAGTGGCAGAAAGCAGGCTTGCTCCATCTTCCAGGCGACAGCCCTTCAGACGGGGGTGCAAACTTGAATATTTTATTGGGGGGGGGCAAAGGGACCCTGGACCCTAGGACTTGGCTCCTATGCCTTCAGATATTTGAAGAGGGCTATGGAGAGAATTGCAGCTCTTCCAGGAGATCAATGGAGAAGAGAACCTGTTCTTGGACTTCCGTCCCGGCAGCACCAGCCGTGTCCGGGGGTTGTAGTCCAGCCCCATTTGGAGGGTGACCCCTGGAACAGACCCTGCCCCTCAAATACCCAGGTGTGAAGGAAAACCTGTCCCCCTACCCTGGCCCAGTGCCATAAAAATAGAGAGACAGGCAAGCCCATCTTACTGGATGAAGGGAGTTGAGACCTGGACCACGTGAAGCTAAATTCTTTTTCAGGTGTTAGGAGAGACAGCCCTATTCCCAGGGGGGTTTTCTAACTCAAATCGGGAGATAATGCTACCGAGAGCAGCTCAGCTACTGTCTGAAGAAGGGGGGATTATTGTTATTATTTTCAAAGCCCCCCCCCCATGTCTTGAAAGGTAAGCCCAGCCCCAGCCAAACATTCTGAGATACTTTCTAACCCAAGGAAAATTGATTAAATCTTTAGGGTGGCATCATCGCCTGACCTCCCCAAATGCTGAACCGAGCCTGGTTTGAACATTTCGGCCCTGCACCGCTTTTCATATGAGTAGACCGCACAGTGTTTTTTTTCCTTCTCTGCTGCAACACAAAACTGAAAACTGAAAATGTTTTCACCCTGCAAGGAGCTGCTGATGTTTTCAATTGCCCTTTTTGAAACCTTTTCCACCTCTACGGTATCCCTTTGGGAGTGAGGCGACCGGAACTGTCATTCCAAATTGGGGTTGTGCCATAGATTTTGTGTAATGGGCACTATGGGCATTTTTGAATATTTTTTTTTTGGGGGGGAGATCCATGATCATCAACCAGCTACAGAGTTAGGTTTGTGCATAAGTGGCGGTCCTCAGCCCCCAAGGGAGTCTCTAGGGAAGGAGGTGCTTTTCAGGGATGTGGGGCATAAACCACTGGCTGTTTCAAAGGGTAATCTGAGCACCTTGAATTGGGACCCCGAAACAAACTGGCTGTTGCCTGATTTACACCACCAACCCCGCCGAATAATCGGGACTTTGGACCAGCAGAAGTCTCCGCTTCCAGGGCAGCCCCACGCAGAGCCCATGGCAGCGGTCCAGCCGGCAACTGAGCAGGGCAGGGACCTAATGGGGCCAATCGCCTCTGTCCAAAAGCGGCTGAGGCTGGAAAGGGGCCCCTCCCGGCCCCCCAGAGATCACCCCTCAGGTGCATCTCCATCATCCCTCCCCACTGCGCCATGGGGAGCCCCCCTCCCCGTCTGGGTGGGGGCCAATTCCCTGCCAGGGGGAGCCAAGGAGGGGGGGCTCCCATCCCCACCCAGGAAATCGGGGGCGGGGGTTGCAGCAGCCCCCTTGGAAGGAGCCTCTCCCGGGCGGCCCCCAGCCAGGCAGGCCAGGGCACCGGGGGGTGGAGAGTTGGGTGCTGCTCTCGCCGCTCCCCCCGCCCTCTCCAGACCCCTCCCCCCGCCCTCGCCGGCGCGGGGGCTGCCGGGACTTGTAGTCTCCTCCCCGCCCACAACAAAGGCAGGCAGAGCCCGAGGGGCACCAGCCGGAGTGCCGGGCGCGCGCGCGGAGGGGCCCGGGCAGAGCCAGCTGCTCCCCGCCCTCCTCTCGCCGGCCGGGCTCCCCCCGCGCCCCCTTGGCGGGGAGGCCGCCCCCACGCCTTCTCCTCTGCAGGCCAGGTAAGGCCCCCCCCCCGCCGCCAGCGATGCTTCTCCCCCCCTTTTGCAATAAAAGCCCCTTGCGAAACCCCCACTCAGCAGGGGGGCATGCACAGGGGGCGCAGGAGCGCGGCTGCCCTGCTCTGCAAGAGGGGCGCCCTAGGGATTGCGCCCCCCCCTGATCCTGCAGGATCGGGCCCAAGGGGGCGCAGCCTCTCCTGTCTCCGCCGCCCGCCCCGTCGGGCGATGCCCGCCTTGCCCGCTCCAGGAGGTCCCCCCCCCCAAAAAAACCCTTTGGGTTCAGGGCTGGTCTGACTCAGCGCGGCCCCGATTCCGAGGACCAGATTTCCTGCCCATATAGCACATTGGAGGGGGGGGTGATTTAGCACCTGAGGACGAGAGGGCTGCTGGGCATGTGCAGAGTGCCACTCGCGCACTCCTGGCAAGCCTCCGCCAGCTTCGACTGGACTTAGCAGTCCAGGGGGTCCTTTCCCTTCCCCCTTTTATGTGTGGGGTGCAGCAGGAGTGGCTTGGGGGGTGAAATTGCCAAGGCCCCAGCCTTGCTTGGGAATTCAGTTTGCAGAAATGGAAAGGGATGGATCTAAACGGAGTAAGACTAGCAGAGGGCAGGAGGTTGAAATGCCCGTGGGCAGCCAGCTGCCTATTATGGGAAGCCCAGAAACAGGTCCCAAGGAAAACAATATTTTCCTATTGTACCCCATTAGCTGGTTATTCAGGGGTAGACTGCCCCTGGGGATGGAGGTTCTGCCCCCACAGGAGAACTTGCATATGGAGAGCCTTGAAGCTGGATCAGGCCAAAGGGGGACCCTTAGAGCCCAGCCTCCTGTTCTCACAGTGCCCAGCCGGATGCAGGATCCGAATACAAATTCAAATCTCCGCTCCTGTGGTTATCCAGCATTCATAACCGCTGCCAGCTGAAGTTTGGTGAGGTCAGGCCCGCTTGCCAGGACGCTCCTGGGCATCCCACACCTCTCCAGAGTTCCCCCGTTTTGTGGGGGCCGCAGCACGCTGCCTTGGGAGGTCAGAGGCCTGGATGGGCAGCGTCTGGGGCAAAGGGTCTCTGCCTCGGTTTCCCTGCATAGCAGCAGGCGGGTTGGGAAAGGGAGGCGAGGGCCGGGCTGTTCTCGAAAGTGCAGAGGCTGCCTGGAGGCAGGGAATAAATGGAGGTGGAGGTGGAGCGAGAGAGATCTTGTGGGGAGATGGCTCTCAGTTGTGGCTTGAAGGACTGACATGGAGGAGTCTCTTGCTAGCGCATGGCTCAGCGAGGCAGCAGGGCTTCTGAATGCCAAGAATATTCTTGTGCTCGGATCCTGCCAGCAGGTTTCCCATTTGGAGGACTCCCTGGTCCCGGATGGGGCAACTGTGCCCCTGAAGGACCAGGTGTGCAGCCTGGGAGTCATTTTGGACTCACAGCTGTCCATGGAGGCACAGGTCAATTCTGTGTCCAGGGCAGCTGTTTATCAGCTCCATCTGGTACGCAGGATGAGGCCCTACCTGCCCACAGACTGTCTCGCCAGAGTGGTACATGCTCTGGTTATCTCCCGCTTGGACTGCTGCAATGCGCTCTACGTGGGGCTACCTTTGAAGGTGACCCGGAAACTACAACTAATCCAGAATGCGGCAGCTAGACTGGTGACTGGGAGCAGCCGCCAAGACCATATAACTCCGGTTCTGAAAGACCTCCGTCGGCTCCCAGTACGTTTCCAAGCACAATTCAAAGTGTTGGTGCTGACCTTTCAAGCCCTAAACGGCCTCAGTCCAGTATACCTGAAGGAGCGTCTCCAACCCCATCATTCAGCCCAGACACTGAGGTCCAGCTCCGAGGGCCTTCTGGCAGTTCCCTCCCTGAGAGAAGTGAGGTTACAGGGAACCAGGCAGAGGGCCTTCTCGGTAGTGGCACCCGCCCCGTGGAACGCCCTCCCATCAGATGTCAAGGAAATAAAGAACTATCTGACTTTTAGAAGACATCTAAAGGCAGCCCTGTTCAGGGAAGTTTTTAATGTGTGACATTTTAATGTATTTTTAATCTTTGTTGGAAGCCGCCCAGAGTGGCTGGGGAAACTCAGCTAGATGGGCGGGGTACAAATAATATATTATTATTATTGTTGTTGTTGTTGTTATTTGGGCATCTGGTCAGCCACTGAGAGAACAGGATGCTGGGTTCACTGGGCCTGATTCAGCAAATGCTTGTCTTATGATTTCGAAAACTTAGCACAAAGGATTGCGATCGTTTCGCAAATGAAGCAGTTACAATAACAATAATAAAAAAGCTACTTTTCTCTAATTCTCTAACTATCCTCTTCCTTATAATGTGGCTGGCCAAACTTAGTCCTAAAGAGTTGGGAGGGGCCCAAGCCTCACCTAGCCCAATGTTTTTATTTTGTATTTTTATGACGTGAACTGCCCTCAGATCTTCAGATGAAGGGTAGTGTACAAATCAAACAAATAAATTTGCTTCCCCATTTCCCAAATTGCAGGCAATAGCAGGCCTGATGTACAATTCCTTCCTCCTTCTGTTTCTCCTCATTGCAGGGATGGAGCTCTGCGCATGTTCACTGAAGCCACAGCAGGCAACGCGGTGATGGCAGCAACCAGGGCCCCAGTGATGTGGTCCAGAGAGCGCTGGGCGGGCACCCCCACATCGTGTGGGGCTTAGCGTTGTGGTGCGTTGACGCTGTGCGCAAGGCAAGTTGGCTCTTTGAGGCTGCGAGTTCCATGTCTCTCGTTCCCCTTCGGTGAGTCCTGGGCGCTGTGGAATCACAGAATTGTACGGCTGGAAGCGACCCCAGGGGTCCTCTATGGAGGGATGTCGATAGGGAGGCTAAGAGAGGGTATATTTGCTAGATATTATCCTTCCTTCTTCATTTTTGTGAGTTCAGCAGAGTGCACCCCTGTGCAGTTTAAGAAGGGAAGCTTAGTTAGGTTAGTTTTAGCCTTTTCGTTTAAGTAATCCAGGATGCTTTAAGGCAGACAATCACAGTCGGTCCATCATTTGAAAAATAAGACTTCAGAGCCGTCTGGTCCCAAAATTGTAACCAGATATTCTGTTTTGGTGACGGCAACCTTGGTTTAAGGAGCCATTTGGCACCTAGTTTCTAATACTGATTCACTCACTCGGAATACAGAACCAGATACAGCAGCTGTGTTCATGCAGGCTTAAAATGCTAATTCAGACTTAAGGCTATACTATGAAGCTGCAGCCTTCTGCTGGTTGAAAGATTGGCTGCTTTTAGAAAATACTGATGTCCTGGATCTAGAAGGGTTTGACAATGCTTTTGGGTGGCATGCATATTTGTGGTACGACAAGGTTAAGATTCATAAAACATTTAAAAACCATATTGTCAGAAAAGCAATATTTATGGTCTGGATAAAATACAAAGACTTATTGGAAAGTAAGACCCCGAGGTGGCTATCACCAGTGGAGGCCAAGGCCCGAAAAAAGCCCAATATGGAGACCGGTTGGTTGAAATATTGGGAAATGCTAGAAAAAATAGGTGATAATTGGAGGTTACAGAGCTATGAAAAGGTAAAACATAAGGTGCAAAACTGGTTTCATTATGCTCAAATTCAAGAGATTTTTAAATTGGACAAAAAGATAGGATTCCAGGTGGAAAAATCGAAATTAGAGACAGAATTGCTAGAACCAAAGACAAAGGTACTTTCGAGAATGTACGACTTGCTGCTTAAGTGGAACACTCAGGACGAGACAGTTAAATCCGCCATGATAAAATGGGCTCAAGACATTGGGCACAACATCATGTTTGATGACTGGGAAAGGTTATGGACCACCGGTATGAAATTCACGGCATGTAGTGCATTGAAAGAAAATATTTTGAAAATGATATACAGGTGGTACATGACCCCAGTTAAACTCGCTAAAATATACCATTTGTCTGACAACAGATGTTGGAAATGTAAGGAGGCGGAAGGGACATTCTTTCACCTCTGGTGGACATGCCCAAGGGTAAAGGCTTTCTGGGAAATGATTTACAATGAGTTAAAAAAGGTATTTAAGTACACCTTTCCCAAGAAACCAGAGGCCTTCCTTTTGGGCATTGTCGGCCAGAATGTGTTAAAGAACGATAGAACCTTTTTTATGTATGCAACAACAGCAGCAAGAATACTTATTGCAAAGCACTGGAAGACACAAGATTTGCCCACTCTGGAAGAATGGCATATGCAATTGATGGACTATATGGAATTGGACGAAATGACTGGCAGAATCCGAGATTTGGGAGAAGAGACAACGGAGGAGAACTGGAAAAAATTTAAGGACTATTTACAAAAACATTATAAATTATTTGATTGTCAACAATTTGCATAAACTGAAAAACCAAGCTTCAGCAACAAGATTTTATATATTGGAAATTAGGGTATGATTAATGAGAGGACTAAAGTTTAAAATAATATTGTGTTTAGATTAAAGTAAAAGTAAATTGAAAACAAGTATTTTGAACCGAAAAGACAATTACTTGAAAGTATTAATAACACATGAAACAAGATATTAATTTGCTGACATTTTATTGTTAAGAAAGCAGGGTGTGGGAGACGTGGGGAAGTCCAGCAAGATATGGGAAAATGTAAATTGAAAGGTGGATTCTATTTGTTTCCTTTTTCTGTTCTTTTTCTTCCTTTTTCTTTTGTTGTTTGATATGATATCTGGAAAAAGGCAATAAAAATATATTTTAAAAAAAATGCTAATTCAGTCGCAAAGACTTACTTTAGTCTAACTTAAAATTGTTTCTGAGCGTTGGAACTCAGACTTGCAGACGTCCTTCATATTTCCGGCAGAGTTTTCTCTAGCAAACTTGCAGGAAAACTCTGTGACCTTCAGCTCCTATCACATGCCTGTCTGGGGAACATAGAAATATCATTTCCCAAAAGCATTTCACTTCTTTACACGTCCACCACATATGGAAGAATGGCCCCTCTACCTGCTTACATTTCCAGCATTTTCTACATCTTGGCTGGTTTCTTTGGTGTTAAATGCCACCTGTACATCATTTTGAAATAATTTCCTCTGAGTGTATAAAAAGCAGTAAACTTCATATCCTTTCCCCATAACTTCTCCCCGGAAGCCCTGTCCAAATTATGACCTGAGTCTTTAGGCCATTGTATCGGGGTTGATTTAACCATTTCATCTTTAGCACCCCATTCTAGTAACATGTGCATTGTAGAAATCAGTTTTTCACTACTCTCAAGCAACCCCATCTTCTGAAATGTTCTGTCATGTTGTTATTTATTGTTTGGAATTTGGGGTTTATTGGAATGACATGCAAGCATAGAAATATAATAAATCAAATCAAATTCCCTCCCTTCCTCTTGGGCAGGTGGTGTTGATGCGAAGCCCCCATTAGCCGTTGGAGCAGACCCAGAGGGGAGGCCACCCCCCCAGGAGAGGAGATGGAGGACAAGAGTCTGGAGCCCCCCAGCCCAGGTCAGTAACGGGGAGACTTCCCTCCTGAGCCCTCCGTGAGTCGCAGGAGCCCAGCTTGCCAGTGGCAGAGATGCAGAACGTAGCCTAAACACACTCCCTGTTCAGTCTGATTTGTTTAGCTGGATGTTGGTACCCTCCTGGGGGGGGGGATTCCAAGATTATTTGATTGACTTGTAGGTCGCTTTTCCACCATGAGCTTTTGCCCAAGGCGGCTTATGGCAAACAGCCCCAACCTCCAAATGCAGAGCATTGGAAATGCAAATACAGTGGTACCTCTGGTTGTGAACTGGATCTGTTCCGGAGGCCCATTTGCAACATGAAAAGAGCGCAACCTGCAGTAGTTCGCCTGCGCATGCGCGGGTTGCGATTTAGCGCTTGTGCACATGTGCAAAGTGTGATTTATCACTTGTGCGCATGCGCGAGCAGCGAAACCCAGAAGTAACCCTTTCTGGCACTTCCGGGTCGCCGCGCGACGTAACCTGAAAGAACGTAACATGAAGCAAACGTAACATGAGGTATGACTGTATGCAAAATGCGGAACGTTTTGGCAAATCCAAAAATGATCAAAAAACCCACAACAAACAACCCCAGCAATTTGGCCAATGCAGAATAAATTCAATATTGCACAAAATAAATAAATATAGGCTTGGAAGTCATAGAAGGGACTCCAAGGGTCTAGTCCAGCCCATTGCAATGCAGGAATCTCAGCCAAAGCATCCAAGACAGAGGGCCATTCAAACTCTCTTGAAAAACCTCCAAGGAAGGGAGAGTTCACCACTTCCCAAGGGAAACCGTTCCACTGCCGAACATCTCTTAACTGTCGGAAAGTTCTTTCTGTTGTTTTGTCGGAATCTCCTTTCTTGTAACTTGAAGCCACGGGTTCAAGTCCTACCCTCCAGAGCAGGAGAAAACAAACTTCCCTGTGACAGACCTTGAGATATTTGAAGATAGCAACACATCTCCTCTCAGTCTCCTCTTTTCCAGGCTAAACATCCCGAGCTCCTTCAGTACATGAATACAGTGGTACCTTGGGTTACATACGCTTCAGATTACATACGCTTCAGGTTACAGACTCCACTAACCCAGAAATAGTACCTCGGGTTAAGAACTTTGCTTCAGGATGAGAACAGAAATCATGCGGCGGTGGTGCAGCAGCAGCGGGAGGCCCCATTAGCTAAAGTGGTGCTTCAGGTTAAGAACAGTTTCAGGTTAAGAACGGACCTCCGGAACGAATTAAGTACTTAACCCGAGGTACCACTGTACATGGGAAACAAGAATTAACGGACAATAAAGGTTCTAGCACAATGCAGCTCAGAGAGGGTGGGGCGGGGGGGCCCAGAGCTGGCTCCCATGTCCTTAGTCCAGAGGAGGCTGAGAGCAGCAAAAGGCAAATGTTGGAGAGGGAAATGACTAACTGTTTATTCTGGGACAGATGTGCTCCTGACATCTCTGAAAAGGTGAGGGTTGTTTTGCCTTTAGAATGGCAACTTAGGGATAAGTTAAATTCTTCCGGCGAAGAAACTCCCCCCCGCCCCCGGAAGTCCTGGTTTCAATAATTGTGGAATGCATTTTATTTTGTCTTGTGTATCTTGGGTGGTTTCTTGGTAACGGCTTCGGCTGCACAAATAAATTAATATAATATTCTTCCTCCTTGAAGCTGCTGGCTGGGCTGCTCCCTCGGGGCGCAAAGTGGTGGTGAAGGAGGAGCCTGAGGAGGAGCTGCGCATCGGATGCCCCCAGGACCCGGCGGAGGCAGAGAGGGAGCCGCTTCCTGACTCCCCGGCAGGTGAGACGGGCTGGGGTTCCTCCCTGGGGAGCAGGTGGAGGGGTGCATGATGCAGCCCCCCAGGACACCCAGAGCAAGGTGAGGGGCCCCCTGGAGTTGGCTACCAGTGGCCCCCAGTGCCCGCTGGCCCCCTTGCGCTCCTAAGCTTGAAGGTTCCCACACCTTCTCTGAGCTACTAAGAACAGCAGTTGCTGTCTTAGCAAACCCATCAGCAAATCTCTTTGGAGGTTTGCCTTTTGTGGCCCTTTCATATCTGCGTACTAGACACAAGTCTTCTGCACTCACCTCCTCCTTCTTAGGAGAAAAGTGGCCAATGGTGAACAGTGGTTCTTCCAGTTCAGTGTCAGACCTATCAGATGGTCTGACTGAGGCTTTTGCGCTCTTGTAGTCTGCTGTGTCCTCACTGTCACTGACAACAGCAGCAGCGCCGCCCACTGAGCTGGAATCCGAACTCTGATCATCATCCTCAGCTTCCTCTTCTACCTCATCATCTTCCTCTTCCACATCATCTTCATCCTCCTCTGAGTGGCTCTGGAAAATTCCCACATTTCCCCCCCACTTAGGATTGTACTCAACACTCTTTGTGAACCTAATGGACTGAGAGTCAGTCATGAATACCCTGGTGTATCACAGGCCTCTTTACTTCCAGCTCTCGCTGAGAACTTCCGTTTGTATATAGCTTTTGTATCACGGCGCTTACGGGAGAGTAAGACTGCTGAAGACTGCGAGATTCTGGGCCCATAACCCTCTTGTTGGGATTCTGCCAGGGAGACGTAGGTATCAGGCAGCCCCCAGTTGTCTCCGGACGATCACCGGTCTCCTGTGGAACAGCATCAGTCAATTAGAAACACGAGCCTCAGAGACGTTCCAAGACCCATGCACACCCTTTCAGCAGAGTGTGTAACTCTTCACAGCGAAAGATGCAGACACAGAGAGAGCATATTTACAGCTTTATTCAACGTAGTTCAGAACAAAGGAAAAACATGACTGCTTGCCTCTGTGTCCAGGAAAACAGCCATGATACAAAAGCGATATACAAACGGAAGTTCCCAGCGAGAGCTGGAACTAAACAGGCGTGTGATACACCAGTCATGCCTGCTCCTTTTAAGGTGGAATGGAACTATATCCTAACAAAAACATTTGGTCAGTTTGGGAGCCAAAATGGCTCCAGGACTGCCCTCCTGTGCTGCCTCAGACATGTGGCCCATACATTTATGTATGTGTTTGCCCGGCACATCCATGAACATTTATTGTATATATAAGACCTTAATTTTTTTTATTTCACTTTCCTGGGGGGAATGCTTTGTCATGTCACATAATGCCTGTTCCACATTCATTACAAACTCGCCCTTTTTGTGTGGCAGCACCCGTACCCTTTGGAACTCCCTGCCTAGTGACACCAGGCGGGCGTTTTCACCATTCTCTTTTTGGCACCTGCCGAAAGCATTCTTGTTTAGAGAAGCAGATGTTTAGAAAGACGCTGTGAGTTCTAACCTGTTCATAGTCTGCTGTTTTAAATTGCTGATAATTCTTCTCGGTAATGTTATTGCTCTGCCTTTTTTTTGCAAACCGCTTTGGAGGGTCTTTTTTACCCTTAACGGAGGAGAGGGCTATCGATGGCTATGCTCTGCCATTGGAGGCAGCAAACGCTTCCAGATACCAGTTTCTGGAAGACGCAGGAGGGGAGATGGTTGGTTTTGAACCTTGCTTGAGCGTTTCCCTGCGGGGGCATCTGGTTGGATCCTGGACTGACATGGGCCATTGGCCTCAACCAGCAAACTCTTCTCTTCGTCTTAAGAGGCGTATAAGTTTTATGAAATGAGGAGACGCCACTCCACACCTGATTCCCTTCTGCCTATGGATTTACAGGCGTCTTTCGGGGCACAAGCCCCCCTTGTTCAGAACTGTGTGTCAGAGGCAGAGGTCTGTGCCCCCCAAGAGGGCACCCGGCCAGAGCAGTAAACGAGGCTCCTGGATTTTCTCTCCTCTTTCAGGGATCAAACCAGAGGTGGCCATTAAGATGGAGCCAGAGGACGACTCGTATGCAGAAGAGCCGTGGGACTACAGTGGCGGGGAATCCGGCGACGACACAGACTCCTGTGAGTCCAGGAAGCCTGTGCTGCTTTTGGCGTGAGGGGCGAGGTGTCCGTGGTGGGAGGTGGGCTAGAATAAGCCTCTTTGGGGCAGCTGGGTCTCTGCCCCACAGCCTGTCTGTGGCCGTGAGGAAGGCTGTCAAGGCGCATGGCCAAGCCTTGCAGGTCGGCTGATTTGGGGGTGCTTCTGTCCAAGCAGAGGGGCTTCCTGGATGCTGCAGCCCCTTGCCTCACAGAACCAAAGGGTTGGAGAGTTGGGAGGGGACCCTGAGGGTCATCTGGTCCAACCCCCTGCAGTGCAGGAATGGCAGCTGAAGAATCCCTGACGAATCCTCTCTCTCTCCCTCCCTCCATACAGCCGACATCCGACCTGACGTTATTGTGAAGATGGAGCCAGAGGAGGAGGAGGAGGAGGAAGAAGATGATTTTGGGTGCCCCCCGGGAGAGATGGAAACAGGAGCATCCCCTGGCACCCTTCTCGTGGGTGAGTTCTGCGACTCTCCCATCTTGGCTGAAGGAGAAGTGCAGGAGTGTCAGGGGGCATGCGGGTCTATTAGGTCTTCTTTGTTATTGTTTTTCTTACGTTTCTAATAATAATAATAAATAATAATCATCATCATTTTTTATTTATACCCCGCCCTTCCCGGTTCAAAAACCGGGCTCACTTAATTATAAAAGCAGCAAAAAATACAGTATAAAACATGAATAACAATAAAATTCAAAATTCAGAAATCAATTTAGGGGAAATAAGCATTAGATAATCCCCAGGGCTAGCTGGCTGAATTGGTCCTACTTGGGCCAGCGAGGAGGCCAAGGGGAGAATTAGCTGTGGGGTCTCAGAGCAGGGTGATCTTCATAAAAGGGGGGAAGGGAAGGGAAATAAAAGATCAGGCTGAATTCAGATTAAAGGCCAGGCAGAATAGCTCTGTCTTACAGGCCCGACAGAAGGAGGTTAAATCCTAAAGGGCCCTAGTGTTTTTATATTGTGATTTTACGTCATTGTCCTGAGACCTGCAGGTATAGGGCGGTATACACATTTAACAAATAATAAAAATCCAGTGGGAGTGAGTTCCACAGTTGAACAATGTGCTGCATGACAAAGGAATTTCTTTTTCCTGTCCCAAATCTCCCGACATTCATTGCCATTTCCACAAGTTCTGGTGTTAGGAGATGGTTCATTTTCCATATCTTAGTTTACAAAAACTAAACCATTCAGCATTCCATCATTGCATCTATCAAAACTTATTTACACTGTTGAATTTATCTTAATGCCACCAGTGTTTTCAAGTGTACACAATTTCCCCCCTATATATTCAATAAACGTTTTATAATCTTCTCTAAACGTATGTTCTTCTTGTTATCTTATTCTATATGTGAAATCTGCAGGCTGCGCATATTCTGTCAACTTAAGTTGCCATTCTTCTCTAGTTGGGACTTCACTCGTTTTCCATTTTTGGGCCAACAAAACACGGGCCGCAGTAGTGGCATACAGAAATAACCTTTTTTGACACATGGGAATTTCTGACTGAATTATCCCCAACGAAAAGGACTCTGCTTTTTTTGGGAAAGTCCTTTTAAACATTTTATCGCTTAAAATCCCTGCTAGAGGATAAAGATCCAGAGATCACGCTAGGGGTGGCCAAATTTTGCACAGCTGCCATAAAACTCAGGGAACAAGCTGTGCTATTACAAAGACTAAGACCTCAGATGCAAACTCTAGATACTATTTTAGAGACTAAGACCTAAACCACATTTCTAATGGCTGTCATATTTGTATTGTTTGTTGTTATATTCGATTGTTAATTCAGACTTAATTCTATTGTGTTTTAATGTTCGCTTAGTACGGTATGTGAAGCTGGTCTGGGACCGTAAGAAATTTCATTTCATTTCAAAGCTCTTGTCTTGTCTTCTGATGCCTTTCCCTTCCTCACCACCAGATGGCGACATCCAGCCGAGTCGGAGGAGAGCGGAAGCAGCCGCCTCCGCCTCCCAGAGCGTCCGCAGCGGCAAGGGCAGTGGCAGCCAGTGGGCGAAGCTGGCTGGCCCAGAGCAGAAGAAACCGCCTGCCCCCGGAGGCTCCGGCAGCCCTCGGGAGAAGCCCCGTCCTCGGACCCCGCCGGACGCTGCCGGCACCCCCGAGGGAGCGCGGCGCCCCAAGAGCCACGCGGCCTGCGACCGCCCCTTCGCCTGCAGCATGTGTGGCAAGCGGTTCCAGCACCGGGGCAACCTGGTGACGCACCTGCGGGTGCACACGGGGGAGAAGCCCTTCCCATGCTCCGAGTGCGGGAAGAGCTTCAGCCAGAAGGGGGACCTGATGCGCCACCTGCGCATTCACACGGGCGAGAAGCCCTTCGAGTGCACCGTGTGTGGTAAGAGCTTCTGCTCCAAGCAGACCTTCGTGCTGCACCAGCGCATCCACACGGGCGAGAAGCCCTACTCGTGCGCCGACTGCGGCAAGGCCTTCAACCGCAAGGCCAACTTTGTCACGCACCAGAAGATCCACCGCGGCGAGCGGCCCTTCGTCTGTGGCGAGTGCGGGAAGGGCTTCTGCGCCAAGAAAACCTTCATCCTGCACCAGAAGATCCACGTGGGGGACCGGCCCTTCGGCTGCGCTGAGTGCGGCAAGAGCTTCAGCCGCAACGGGGACCTGACCCGCCACCAGCGCATCCACACGGGCGAGCGGCCCTTTGCGTGCGGCGAGTGCGGGAAGTGCTTCAGCCACAACGGGGAGCTGATCAAGCACCAGCGCATCCACACGGGCGAGAAGCCCTTTGAGTGCACGGCCTGCGGCAAGAGCTTCAACCGCAAGAGCACCCTCATCACCCACCAGCGCATCCACACGGGCGAGCGGCCCTTCGTCTGCGGCGAGTGCGGCAAGACCTTCAACCTCAAGACCACCCTCATGAAGCACCGGCGTATCCACACCGGCGAGAGGCCCTTCACCTGCCTTGAGTGCGGAAAGAGCTTCAAGTACAAGGGCAACCTGAGGACGCACCACCTCACCCACACGGTTGAGCGCGTCTACCCCTGCACCGAGTGCGGCGCCGTCTTCGGGCAGCGCAAGGAGCTCAAGGCGCACCAGGCGGCGCATGCCGAGAGCCGGCTGCTGCCGTGCTATGGAGATGACGGGGGGAACCTGAACCCCTTCCTGCAGGTGCACCCCCTGTTGCTCTCCTGCTCGCCCATGGAGACCCTGGCGAAATTCAAACAGGAGGCGGGCTTCACAGACCCTTAGCGGGACCTGGGAGGAGGGAGAGAAGGGGCTGATTTAATTTATCAGTTAAGCGGGCAACCGGAAGACCTCCTGGCCCCAGAGATGTCACAGGGGTTGGCGCCCAGAGATGGGCAGACGAACGGAGCGGAGGAAACTTTCCTCTTTTGTGGGGCTCCCAGGCCGTGGGTCTGCAAATGTTGGCTGTGGGCCATGACTTCAGGACAAAGCTCTAACTGCAGGCCATGCCCCAGCGGACTGACAGCTGTCTGTTAACGTCTTCCTCGCAGTAGCAAGCAGGAGCGTTTGCAGCTTGGTTGGTTCCCAAACTCTCGGAGAGTTCGGGAGCAGTGATGCACTTGCCCCATTGGGGGACACAGAGGGCGGGGTAGGGGGGCTTTTGCTTTGGCCGGTGGTTTTATCGGGGGTGGAGGGAAGAGGAGGGTGTGTGTGAATCGGGACGATAAATTGATAGGCTCGTTTGAAGTCCAGGTTAGTTTTCAATTATAGGAGATGCCGGCGATGCCGGCATGATCAAATTCATTGATGTTTTTTAATAGCTCGAAATGCTAGGCTTGAGGCGCTTCAAGGAAATGTTCGTTTGAAGATTAAAGTGGTGGTTGAAGGACAAGCAGTAGAATGAGTGAAAAAGTAGCAAAAACTCCCCTCTTCCCCCCTCCCCGGTACAGTTTTTGAGATAGCTGAAAGCAAATAAACCAACGATGACGAAATCGGAAGTGGCTGAATGCGACTGCTTGGGAAATGGCCTCTGTTTGGACCCTGCGGGGGGTGGGCAAGAGAGTCTTGATCCGGGGGTGCTCTAGGGGCTCTAAAATTTAGAAACTGAATTACAGAGTTGGAAGGGGCACCCCAGGAGCATCTAGTCCAACCCCATGCAATGCAGGAATCCCGGTTCAAGAATCGCTGGGGGGGGTCACCCAGGGAAGGAGAGTCCAGCACTTTCCAGTGTCAAAAAGCTCTTGCTGCCAGAAAGCTTTTCCCAGTGTTTAGTTGGAATCTCCTTTATTGCAAGTTTAATCAATTGTTGGTCCTGCAACCCCAGTGGGGCACTCCGGCTGAGGAGTGGGGCTGCCCAGCTGCCTGGTGTTTTATTTCCTTTCGAACCCAAGCTGGTCAGTGAAGGGCAGATCTCTTATCTGCTAGGAACAGTTTTGATTTCAGGTTGCACAGGCAAAGGAAACGGGGTTTGCAGCTCCTGGTTGGTGGCACCTGCCAGCTGTGGTTGCTTTTGCCTGTGGGGTGAATGGTGTTTTGTTTTTGTTTTTTACCAACCACCAAAACACAAACAGTGAAACCCCCCAGGCGGCTGATACATTGGGTATACAATATTCAATAATATACATATTCAATAATAACATATTCAAATCAACCATATGTGTACTATATACCTTAACACTCCTTCTTCCACAAGGTTTATTTAACTTTTAACATTTTAATTGCCCCAAATTGTTCAAACCTACTCAAATAATTCAATATCTTCTCAAACCAATCCTCCTCTTTCTCACTGACCTTAAACCCTCTCATTCTATGTATCTTCACAGTTAGGTATTCAAAAATTATAATATTATTCAGTTTTCCCCTCCATTGGTTCACCCCTAGTTAACTGCATTTTTCCAGTTACTCGCTATAACCTGTCTGGCTGTAGTTACCATCAGTATTACCAATTTGCATTCCTCTTTTGTTTGTAACACGGTACTACTCAGGGAAATAAGAACCATTAATTTACCGTATTTTTTGCTCTATAAGACTCACTTTTTCCCTCCTAAAAAGTAAGGGGAAATGTGTGTGCGTCTTATGGAGTGAATGCAGGCTGCGCAGCTATCCCAGAAGCCAGAACAGCAAGAGGGATTGCTGCTTTCGCTGTGCAGCGATCCCTCTTGCTGTTCTGGCTTCTGAGATTCAGAATATTTTTTTCTTGTTTTCCTCCTCCAAAAACTAGGTGTGTCTTATGGTCTGGTGCGTCTTATAGAGCGAAAAATACGGTAGTTATTTCCACGTTCCTTCCCACAATTCCTGATATTTCTCTACCAATCTGTTTCCAAAATTCATTAACTAACGGACTATCCCACCACATATGACTGTACGTTCCCATCACTCCACATTTCCTCCAGCAATTCTTACTTCCAGATTTTGTAATATGATACAGTATAACCTTACCAGTGTATAATACCATTTTTGTACCAGCTTCAACCCCTGTTCCTGGATTATCCTAGAGGTCGCAACAAAGGGTGGTTGTGGAAAGATTCTTTCCCAATCTTCATCTAAAATCTGTTCCTGAGTATCTAACCTCTAATATTCTTTCAAACTTTCCTTTGGTGATTTCCCTGTGGGGTGAATGGTGACCCCCTCACCCTGGTCCCCTGGTCAGTCACTGGATGGGAGACCCACTGAGAAATTCCCATGTGCTTTGCCTTGAGGTTCCCTATCGGAAAGGCGCTCAATGAATAAATGCAATATTGTCACGAGGCGGGTTAATTTGGATGTTGGGAAAACCCATTTCTGGTATGTGTGTGTCTTTGGAAGCTGGGAAGGGCAGAGAAAAGAAAAGAAAAACCTTTATGCAGCAAATAGTTAAACCCTGGAACTCTCTGCTGCAGGGGATTTAGGCAGATTCGTGGAGGGCCTTCAGAGGACGGCCTTGCCGTGCGCCAGAAGGCCAAGGAGAAACAAGCTGCGCCACCTCCCAGGCAGGGCCCCCACCCAGAGCTCGTGAGGCTGAGCACAGGCCTTATCAGGGTGGAACACACAACGTATCTCAAGGGGCAAACTTGCACTCTTGTAGGTGAAGCGGCTTGGGAGTCTGGCAGGGCTCGGATCTGTGGCTGCAACGTTGGGGCGCAGTCCACTTCATGACAACGGATTAAATTTGTGGGGTCCGGCTCCTCGTGGCCCCTGCCTCACCCAGTGCTAGCTGTGGGGTGTATATACTTTTGTTTTAGATCCCGGACGCAGAAGGCAAGGCCCAGGTCTGGAATTCCCAGGTAAGAAGCATCTGTGGAGAATGGCATTCAAGGATGGAGACTGGGCGCAGTTCAGAGAGGGAAGGAAGGAAGGAGCTGCCACTACCATGAAGTCCTTGACCCACACCTACTCTAGAACAGACCTATCTGGATCTAGGAACATTGGGACCTCCCGGTTCAGAGGAAGTCTACCTCTTGCTGTTGGGGGAGAAACAACAGGAGGGGGCTCTGGGCTTCGTGTCCCCTTAGCGGGTCTCCAAGATGCATCTCATGTAGAAGTCTGGGGTGTTCTTTTGCTGAACTCTTTGATTATACAGTCATATCTCAGGTTACAGGCACTTCAGGTTGCGTTTTTTCGGGTTACGGATGTTTTAACATATCATTTTCAACAATAATTACACATACATTTAAATCTTATACAATTTTTTGACTTCTGTCAATCACATCTGAAAATTTTCCAATCTGTTCACTTACTTTACATTTCTTACTTTCACTACTACATTTAAATTTCAAAACTAATCTCTCTATTCTTTCTCTACTTTGCAATATTTCATATATTCCTCCTTACAAAACTACTAGTGCAATTTGTTGGTTACAATTGCTCTTCAAATAGTTGCGTATATTTCTTCCAATCTTCTGTGAATCTCTGGTCCCGCAAGTTTCGAATCCTTCCTGTCATTTTATCTAATTCTGCGTAGTCCATTAATTTCGTCTGCCATTCTTCTTTCGTCGGAATTTCTTCTTGCTTCCATTTCTGGGCTAACAATACTCTTGCTGCAGTTGTTGCATATAAAAACAAATTAACATCTTGTCTATTAATGTCCTCACCTGTAATACCCACTGCTCTGTCTTTGCAGGGTCTGTTTCAGCTGTCGTTGCTGATGACATAGAATCATAGAGCTGGACTGGGGCATCAGGGGGCATCTAGTCCAACCCCCTGCGATGCAGGAATAAGCATAGACAGGATCCTTCAAGTGCTGTGGCTGACCCCATCCCCTCTCGACCCTTGACCCCGCTTGACTTCTTCAAGCTAGGCAGGGATCCTGCATGTGTGGCTGGCTGGGTCCAGGCTGCTGTCAGCATACCTGTGATCAGAGGAAACACGGTGGCCTAGTGGTTAGCGTGTTGGAATAGAACCTGGGAGAGACCAGGGTTCAGAGAGATCCACCTGGCCGTGAAGATCCCTGGGTGATCTTGGGGCCAACCAGGGCTATTTTTATAAAGAAATGAATCTCTCCTTTGTTCTCTCCACAGGAGAGGAACCGGAACTAAATTCTGCCAAGTTCCAGCTGGGGGTGGGGAAGACCCTGGGGCCAACTCCCAGACTAGCCTACCTCACAGGGGTCTTGTGCGGATAATATGGAGGGTGGGGTCATGCAGGGAACCTTGAGCTCCTGCGAGGAAAAGTGGAAGACAAACACACCTGCCTGTGTGGGTTCCTTGGAGGAGGAACTGCCTGCCTGCCCTTAAGGAAGCCCACCTTGCGCCCACTGTTTCTTGACAGCGCCTGATCACGAAAACTTTTGGGGGAAGGGTCTTGAAGGAGTCCTGGGGGCCCGGCTGCAGGCCCTGCAGGGATGAGGCTGATAATCCAGACCCCAAATCAGCCCTGGGGCAGGACCTTTATTTGGGAGAGGGACAATGGGAGCATGACGGGTCAAGTTCCCTCCATCTCTCAGCAAGTCCTCTACAGCTTGGGACGAGGTAACCTCAGAGACACAATAATAATAATAATAATAATAATAATAATAATAATAATAAAAATTATTTATACCCCACCCATCTGGCTGGGTTTCCCCAGCCACTCTGGGAGGCTTCCAACAAAATATTAAAATACTGTGGGCTGCTGCTGAGAACCTGCCGGTGGCACTGGACACACAGAATGGTAGAGAGGTAAGGGACCCCCAAGGGCCATCTAGTCCAACCCCTTGCAACGCAAGAATTGCAGCTCAAGGATCCCTAACCAGCCACCCAACCTCTGCTTAAAAACCTGCAAGGGAGGAGATTCTGCCGCATCCGAGTTACACTCTCACAGTCAGAAAGTTACTCCCAACGTTTAGTCGGAATCTCCTTTTTTTGCAATTTGGATCCATGGGTTCGAGTCCTACCCTCTGGAGCAGCAGAAAACAAGCCAGCTCCATTTTCCATGTGAGGCCCTTCAGATATTTGAAGACGGCTCTCACAGCACCTCAGTCAGTTGCACAGATTAGGAACTTCCTTCAGTGTGGTGACACCTAACATATAAGGCAGCAGACCCTCCCAGTGCCCCTATTTTCCAGGGACAGTCTCAGGTTTACAGAAGCCATCCCAGTTACTGATTTGACCTGGAAGGTCCCGATTTTCCTTTTGTTGTTGTTTAGTCGTTTAGTCGTGTCCTACTCTTCGTGACCCCCTGGACCAGAGCACGCCAGGCACTCCTGTCTTCCACTGCCTCCCGCAGTTTGGTCAAACTCATGCTATCCAACCATCTCGTCCTCTCTCGTCCCCTTCTCCTTGTGCCCTCCATCTTTCCCAACATCAGGGTCTTTTCCAGGGAGTCTTCTCTTCTCATGAGGTGGCCAAAGTCTTGGAGCCTCAGCTTCAGGATCTGTCCTTCCAGTGAGCACTTAGGGCTGATTTCCTTAAGAATGGATACGTTTGATCTTGCAGTCCATGGGACTCTCAAGAGTCTCCTCCAGCACCATAATTCAAAAGCATCAATTCTTCGGCGATCAGCCTTCTTTATGGTCCAGCTCTCACTTCCATACATCACTACTGGGAAAACCATAGCTTTAACTATAAGGACCTTTGTTGGCAAGGTGATATTGGTAAGGTGATATCTCTACTTCTCAAGATGCTGTCTAGGCCTGTCATTGCCCTTCTCCCAAGAAGCAGGCGTCTTTTAATTTCGTGACTGCAGTCACCATCTGCAGTGATCACGGAGCCCAAGAAAGTAAAATCTCTCACTGCCTCCATTTCTTCCCCTTCTATTTGCCAGGAGGTGATGGGACCAGTGGCCATGATCTTCAGTTTTTTGATGTTGAGCTTCAGACCATATTTTGCACTCTCCTCTTTCACCCTCATTAAAAGGTTCTTTAATTCCTCCTCACTTTCTGCCATCAAGGTTGTGTCATCTGCATATCTGAGGTTGTTGATATTTCTTCCGGCGATCTTAATTCCGGCTTGGGATTCATCCTCCCCAGCCTTTCGCATGATGTATTCTGCATATAAATTAAATAAGCAGGGAGACAAAATACAGCCTTGTCGTACTCCTTTACCAATTTTGAACCCATCAGTTGTTCCATATCCAGTTCTAACTGTAGCTTTTTGTCCCACATAGAGATTTCTCAGGAGACAGATGAGGTGATCAGGCACTCCCATTTCTTTAAGAACTTGCCATAGTTTGCTGTGGTCAACACAGTCAAAGGCTTGCATAGTCAATGAAGCAGAAGTAGATGTCTTTCTGGAACTCTCTAGCTTTCTCTATAATCCAGCGCATGTTTGCAATTTGGTCTCTGGTTCCTCTGCCCCTTCGAAATCTAGCTTGCACTTCTGGGAGTTCTAGGTCCACATACTGCTTAACGATTTTCCTTAGGACATCCCTATTTTCACTGGAGAAATGTTGGAGGGTACAACTCAAGACAGCCACCTACGACTGGGGGGGGGGTTTCCGTTCCTTTGGGCAATCCCAGTTTAGGATGGTTGATTCCCCGCACCCAGCTGCAGGCAGCATTGCTACCATGGGAATGTTTTCATTACGGGAGATTGCTTTTATTTATTTTTTTGCCATTGTTTTTATTGATTTTCATATTATATATTTATACATTCTTACAATATTGGTAAGCTAAAACTCTTTGGTTTGCCACTTCCCTCTAGCCCTCTTCTGGTTTTCTTGTTTCCACACTATAATATTTACACGTTGATTTATATCAGCATACTGTTCATAGCTATACATAGTTCTTTCTATAATCTCACATAGAATGCTCCATCATTTATACGTTGTAAGGTTTCTCTCAGACCTGCCAGTGTTCTTATATGTAAACAGTGTTTCTCAAGGTAAGTTATAAATTTCTTCCAGTCTTTTTGGAACGTCTGGTCGTCCTGCTCACAAATTCGTCCCGTCAGGCTGGCTAATTCTGCGTCCTCTACCATCTTTGTTTGCCATTCCTCGATAGTCGGCAGATCTTGATGTTTCCATCCTTGAGCTATCAAAACTTTGCTTTTATATGATGTGTTTCCTTGTTGGGCTTTTCATGTCGACCAGTCTAGAAACTCTGCTAGCAAAATGACTCTGATAACAACATGGGGATCTACTGCGTTCTGGACCGCTTCCAAAGGCAGCCCTCTGCAGAGAACGCCTTGCTGATCTAATCTGGCCAGCATGCCTGCCTGCAGGGGCCAGATCCCTCTCTCTTCCAGGAAGGGTGCAGTTGGCACAGCAGTGCAAGCAGATAAAAAAGGCCCTCTGGTGCCCCCTCAGACTCCATCGGCAGGGCTGGCTCTATCCGGGAGGACCTGCTTCTTAAGAGGAAGTGAGATCCCACTGCTACCCCCATTCAGAGGAGACCAAGCAGTCCCTCACACAGGAACCTGCTCTGCACTGAGTTGCTCCATCGAGCTCAGCAGAGTGCAGGACGGACTGGCAGAAGCTTCCTGGGGTTGCAGCCCCCCCCCAGCAATGCCGTGATTTGAATCTAGGACCCTCTGCATGTGACCCTCAGTAAGACCCCAGTCCTTATGAATGAATAAAGGGCAATTTAAATAGGAAGATAGTTTTGCACGCCAGTCTCCAAGCGGTGTGAGATTCCAGGGGTCCCAGGCACTTGCCCAGAACTCTGTCATGAAATTCTCCTCAATATTGATCCAGATCAGAACTCCAATGTATACTTAGCGGAGTAAGAATAGACCAGAGGCAATGAATACTTCACCCAGCAGAGCTTCACTGCTACTGAAGGCAAATGACCATCATGGTCACAAATCTAAGGATTGGCACTGTCCATCAGAAATCCAGTTAAACTTACAATAACTTATAATAAGACTAAAACCTTAATTATAAGCATACTATGTACAGAACACCACGCCAGAAGGAAAAGAGACAGAAAGAGAAAGTGAAACCCAGGCTCCTTCTGGCCTTATTATTATAGTCAACATGACCGTGACAGAAGAGATAAGAGAACCATTTTAAGCCAGCTGTACTCAGCTTCTCGGAAGACATAACCCAAACATCATGAACCTTCTGCTTGTTTCTTTAACACAGAGAAGCTCCCAGAACCCTCTTGAATTAAGTAGAATAGGAAAGATCAATACTTTCTGCACCAAGAGATGCAAACTGACAAACTCCTGTTTCTTTTTGGAATAAGGCACAATGGAGAAAAGAGGAGACTGAGAGGAGGCGTGACAGCCATCTTTAAATATCTCAAGGGCTGTCACATGGGAGCATGCTAGGCTTTTAGCTCCTCTGCGGCGCAAAGCACAGATCTATCAGGGGCAAAGCCAGGTGAATCTTGGAAGCTGGAAAATCCTCAACCACTTTTGGTCAACGTAATGGAGGGAAAGAGTCAGAGGAATGGCTAGGTAGTCTTCCCAGGAGGACTCGGTTTCTCCACCTTTTCCTCTTGTGCTTTTTTAGAACTTTCACCTCCTGCCGTTCTTTTCCTGTCCCATCTCTTGCAGAAAAGCCACCCCTGGGCCCAGCAGCAACCCGGGTGACGCAATGGCTGAAGACGAGCAGGTGATCGAGATGGCAGCTCTCGGCCGCCCGTTCCAGCTGGGGATGCTCTACGACTGCCGAAGGGACAACCTCATCCCAGGTAAATGGACGATCCCTCTGCCTCTCCCGGTGCCCAGAGAGAAGGAGATTTTCTGGCAAACCACCATGAGCCATTATGGGGGCTGGGTAGTGGTGGGGGGTGGCAACCCTCTTTCCTCTCAAACCCTCTAAGAAGGCCTCAAAGGTGGTGGCCGGAGAGTCTTGGGATTTTATTTGACCATCAACATTTCAGCTCCAGTTTGTGGTGGTGTGGTGATGCCACTTTCTGGAAGGCGCCAAAACTGTCATGGAATTCTACTCTTATTGATCCGAATCAGAACTCCAATGTATAATTAGCAGAGTAAAAACTTAAACACGTTGCAGGATTCCCAAAAAAATAGACCAGAGGTGATGAATACTTCATCCAGCAGAGCTTTACTGTTACTGAGGGCAACTGAGCGAAATGGTCACAAATCCATTCAGGATTGGCATGGCCCGTAAGAAGTCCAGTTGCAGCAGACTTAACTTAAACTTACAATAACATAATAAGATTAAAACTTAACACTACATACAGAACACCACACCAGAAGGAAGAGCTAGAAAAGAGTGAAACCCAGGCTCCTTCTGGCCTTATGATTACGGTGGTACCCAAGTAGTACCTTGGGTAACAGACGCTTCACATTACAGACGCTTCAGGTTACAGACTCCGCTAACCCAGAAATAGTACCTCAGGTTAAGAACTTTGCTTCAGGATGAGAACAGAAATCGCACAGCGGCGGCAGCGGGAGGCCCCATTAGCTAAAGCGGTACCTCAGGTTAAGAACAGTTTCAGGTTAAGAACGGACCTCCAGAACAAATTAAGTTCTTAACCTGAGGTACCACTGTATAGTCAGCATGACCGTGACAGAAAGAGATAACAGGACTGCTTCTCTGAAGGAATAACCCAAACATCATGAACCTTACTGCTTGTTTCTTTCACACAGAGAAACTTCCCATATCCCCTTGAATTAATTAGAATAGGAAAGATCTCTACACATTAGATCAATACTTTCTGTACCAAGAAATGCAAACGGGCACAAACCTGTTCTCTACTTCCTCTAAAGTTTTCTTCCTCCTCCTCAACCGAAGCCTCTGCTTTTCAGCCTCAAGTGCAGGAAGGCAGGGAAGAGATCAGGGGGGCAGTCACTGATTTTGCCGCCGGGACCACATAACACTGGTCCTGAGAGATCTGCATTGGCTCCCAGTACGGTTCCGAGCACAATTCAAAGTGTTGGTGCTGACCTTTAAAGCCCTATACGGCCTCGGTCCTGTATACCTGAAGGAGCGTCTCCACCCCCATCGTTCAGCCCGGACACTGAGGTCCAGCTCCGAGGGCTTTCTGGCAGTTCCCTCACTGCGAGAAGCAAAGCTACAGGGAACCAGGCAGAGGGCCTTCTCGGTAGTGGCGCCTTCCCTGTGGAACGCCCTCCCTTCAGATGAGAAGGAAATAAGCAGCTATCCTCTCTTTAAAAGACATCTGAAGGCAGCCCTGTTTAGGGAAGTTTTGAATATTTAATGCTTTATTGTTTTTAACACTTTTTTTTTAAGCGTTTATTAATTTTCCAATTAAAACATCTAATTAACATATCAAATCAAATCCAAAGAAAATAAAAAAACTAAAATAAAAAAAGTCCAATTGTCTTCCAAATTGCAATAATTTTTGTTTTGGCTTCCCACGGTCTGAATTCCGAAGCGCTTGCAACATCATAGCCCTGCCTCTCATCATCATCATCATCAATGTTTTTCATAATTCCATATCCGATCTTTTCCTCCATGTTTTGACTCTGGTTCTGCGATCCTCATTCATGTCAGAAAACAGATACTTTCCCCCCCTATGGAGTGCAGATTTGTCCGTATATTGTATATTGTCGCACGGCTTCATTTAATTGCATCCAAATTCAGAGTTCTGTCCAGCTCTTTGAGAATTGTTATTTTGGCAGCTCCCAAATCGTTAATCTTTCCCGTCCAGGTGTTATGAAAGAAACAGAGAGAAACCTCCTTCTGAAACTCCTTGTTGATTTATTCTTAAGCAGACTGTTTGCAATGTAGCCATATATCAGACAGTTAACAATTGGCCTTTGGAATCCACCCAATCCAATCCCTCCTCTGGGCCCTAGAGGGGGGCTGACAAACATCCATTTAGCCCTCTCTGTCGCTCATAATAAAAAACTTCTTTTTGCAAACAGTTGTATATATAATATTGTTTCCAGTCTTTATAAGCAACCATCAGTTAGCTCCTGTTTCTCTTAATCAGGGAAGTATTTCAGATATTCCATAAATGCATAGTGGGTAGACGCCATTTTTGTTCTTTGTTCTTTTGTTTTCGTCTTTAACAGGCATTTCAAATCTTAGAAGAAAAGCAGCTGCGGATAAGTCCCAATTATATATGAAAGTCCACCTGTACTCACTTTTTGAAGAGCAATTTAGGTTCTTAATGAGGCTTGGCATGCAATACGGATTGTTAATGTTAGAGGAAGAAGAAAAAACTTACCGAGCCCCTCCGGAATCCAAACATCATGATGAGGATCTCTTTGAAGTTTGATCTTTTGCACCAGAGACTGTACATTCTGCAGGTTTCCCCCCAGCTTCGTCAGTTCAGAGCGTGTCTGTTTGTTTTTCAAATCTTTATATTTCCCCAAACAGATGTGTCCGGCTATGGGGTGGCATCGCAGGAGTGTCAGTCCGTCCCTTGCTCTGTGACCCAGTGCCCTTGCCGTCTGCCACATCGGCAATCTGGGGCAAACCGCGAGACAGTCCGCCCCTGCCTTGGGGAGGCTGCCAGGGCTAATTACCCCCATATCAGCCCTGAATTATCGGAAAGGCTGAAGTCCGATCGTGTGGAATCCGCCATTTTCCACCGCAGGAAACAGGAACCCACTGTATTGTTTTTTAACACTTGATTGGAAGCCACCCAGTGTGGCTGGGGAAACTCAGCCAGATGGGCGGGGTATAAATAATAAATTATTATTATATTGCTTTCCGTCCTTTCACCCGGCAGTGACTCCCAGCTGCCCCACAGCATCATACAGCTGTACTGGCTGGGGCTGACGAGAGCTGTGCACCCAAACAGCTGGAGTGGGCTCTTGATGGCTATTAGCCATGACGGTTATCACAGATGGAGGCAGTACTGTGAGAACAGCATCCTGGACTAGAAGGGTCCAGCAAGACTCTTATGCTCGTTTACATCACACTGCCCTCACTCTCCATTGGACTTCACTTGCCATCAGTGATGGGAGCAGGTAGCCAAAACTTGCATTTGGTCAGCCACCATAAGGACAGGATCCTGGACTAGATGGGCCCCTTTGGCCTGATCCAGCAGGTGCTCTTCTGATGTTCTTATGTTGCATAAGTCTTTATTGTCTCCCAGTAGCCAAACCTAGGAAGATGTGGATTGTCATATTCTTTTGCAACCGCAATAGAACTGTCTGCATACACATTGGCGAAGGGATTGCGCATAACAGAGCATACAATATTTCACATGCAATTCCACATCCCATTGCACTGACCTCTTGCTGCGTCTCTGTTCAATTGCAGGCATCACTTTGTGGGATCCAGGGGTGCTGAAGGAGAACATTGATGTGCGGCCACAGCCCAACACCGCAACGCAAGTCGTTGAATACGACATGATCTTACACAAAACCCGTGCACTGAATGTCTCAGGATCGTTGAAGGCCAGTTTCTTGGCAGGGCTGGTCAAGGTGGACGGATCAGCCAAATTTCTCTCGGATGCCCGGAAGTCCACACGCCAGGCTCGAATAACCCTCCAGTACTCGGCCACCACACATTTTGAGCAGCTGACCATGCACCATATGGGGCTGCAACATATCACTTACCCAGAGGTCTTCAGCGAAGGGCTGAGCACCCACGTGGTCGTTGGCATCCTGTATGGAGCCCACGCCTTCTTTGTGTTTGACCAAATGTCTTCTTCCTCCGAGAGTGTCCAAGATATTCAAGCCGAACTCCATGTGATGGTGGCCAAAGTTCCTCTGGTTTGCCAAGGAGAGGCAGAGAACAAGCTGAAAGGTGAGGAAGAGGCTGTGGTTGAAAAATTCAGCTGTACCTTCCATGGGGACATTGCGCTAGAAAGCAACCCAACCAGCTACGAGGAAGCCTTGAAAGTCTATTCCAGCCTCCCCAAAATGCTGGGTGACCAAGGGGAGAAGGCAGTGCCTGTGAAGGTCTGGCTGTACCCACTGAACAGGCTGGAGCCCAAGGCTGCAAGGCTCGTGCGTCAGGTCAGCTCTAAGCTGATCTCTGACGTCGAGGAAGCTCTGGAGCAGCTGGGGGAAGTCGACAGGAGGTGCAACGACCTCCTGAAGGAGCCAACTGCCACCGTCTTCCCAGAAATCCGGAAGAAAATCCTGCAGTTCCAAGAGCTGTGCTGGCAGTACAAGCGGGCTTTGGAGAAGCAGATGGCAGGGCTCTTGCCTGCGATTCGTGCCGGAGCAGCGCAAGAAAGTGCCTTGGGGGACACTGTGAAGAAGCACCAGCAGTCGGCATTCAGAAGCCAGTGGCTCCACAAATTCCTGGATCTGAAATTCCGAGAGATCTATTACGTCAACTTCTTCCTGGGCTTGTCAAAGGGGAAGGTGTCCTCCCAGGATGACGTGGTGAAGAGGGTGCTCGATCACAAAATTGACATCGTCCTTGCATTTACGTTCACCTCATTGCAAGCGAAGGAGCCCTACTTGGAGAAGTTAAACGCAGCCTTGAATCAAGTATCTGAACTCAAGCCAGAGACTTCTGCAGGAGACAAGAGCTTTGCTCCGTGGTTTGAGGACGAAGACCTATTAAAGAGAGTCCAGAAGACGGCCATGGTCTTTGCAGAATACTCTCTGTTTTCTCAACCTGGGGAGTCTCAGTTTGTGGTGACCTCGCAGGCCAATATGAGTGATCCAGGTGCTGTGATCATCCGATACCAAAGTGGGTCTCTGGAAGGAACCAAATTAGACCTTCTCTCTAAACCTCGCCCTCTGCTGGCGGATGCTGTCTCCTGGGACCGGTTCCAGCTGACATTTAAGCCGACAGAGTCTGAGAAAGGGGTGATCTCGGGATATTATGTCCAGCACAGGGTTCAAGGGGAGGAAAAATGGGTGTTTGCACATGTAAAAGGCAGTCAGGAAAAGTTTTGGGCCACACGACTGGAGCCAGAAACAAAATATGAATTTAGATATGCTGCAGAGACCAAAACAGGCCTCAGTCCGTTCAGTGATGTGAGCAGAGTGGTGACCACCTGCCATTCAAGCCCCCCAGGGAAACCAGCCCTGAGGCCTAGAAGTTCCTGCTTCAGCAGACGACTCCAGGTCACGTGGGGCAGCCCCAGCTTCGTTGCAGCCGGCATCGTGATAAAAGAGTACAAGGTGCAGCTCAGGAGAAGAGCAGACGGCACATGGAAAGAGCAGAGAACAGGAGAGAAAGTTGAGAGCTGTTGGCTCCCCAAACGTTCTCTGAAGAAGGTGGCCGCTGTTCGGGTCATTGCAGTTTACGGAGACGGGTTTGAGAGCAAGCCCAGTGAGGAGCTGGTCCAAGGGGAGTTTTAGATGGGACCCATCTTTGGGTGGGAGATCCCCCTTGTGCTGCCTTCCTCCAGTGCATGCCATCCTTTCCTGATGTAGTAGGAAAGTTACGCTGTTATATGCATTGATGGATAGCCCAAGATGTCAAGGCAGTCAAAGTGGTGGAAGGTGGTGGACTCTCCGTCCTTGGAGGTCTCCAAGCTGAGGCCGGATGGCCATTAGGATGCTTTAGTTGAGATTCCTGGTCTCTATAGTATAGCGTATTTTAAAATGGGGTTTTAGAGTTTTTAGGGGTTTTTGAATGTTTTATGTAGTTTTTATGTAGTTTTATGTAGTTTTGTAGTAGTTTTATGCAGTTTTTCCAATTTCATTTTTCTGCATGGGACAATGACAATAAAGATATCTCTATCTATCTATCTATCTATCTATCTATCCATCATCTATCTATCATCTATCTATCATCTATCTATCTATCTATCATTGCAGGGGGTTGGACTAGATGACCCTCAGGACCCCTTCAAACTACATGAGGGATTGTCCACACTTGTCCCATGCCAAGAAAGCATGGGTCCAAGCAGTTTCCCCCCTGCCCCCCTCCTTTCCCAGGGAAAACCCATTCTTTAGCTCTAGATCGGAGCAAACATCAATCTGTAGAAAACCCAGATTGCTGTTTGTTCCAACAGAGCTCTAAAGAGCGGTTTTCCCCAAGGGAAAGCAGAGGGACCAGAGGATGTTTGGATCAACCCTGAGCATGAAGAGGATGTTGAGCAATAGGATAAGGTGGGGGAGAATCTGCTTCCTTGGACTGTATTAAGAACGTGCCCAGAATGTTGAAGCCCCTGGGGCAGAATGGGGAATGCAGAAGGTCTAAAGCAGGCTTCCTCAAACTCAACCCTCCAGATGTTTTTGGCCTACAACTCCCATGATCCCTAGCTAGCAGGACCAGTGGTCAGGGATGATGGGAATTGTAGTCTCAAAACATCTGGAGGGCCGAGTTTGAGGAAGCCTGGTCTAAAGAGATAATCAAGTACCTTCAACACAAACACAGCAATGTCCTCGAATGCATCTCTGGATGGCTGGAGGAATTGTGGCATGAAGGGCACCTACCACCACCGTTGGTGGAACTGCACAGTGGTGCAGCAGTTTTGGCAGAGGGTTTTTGGTGAAATAAATAAGATCCCAAAAGAAAATGTTGTTCTTGCCCAAGTTGGTATTATTATTATTATTACTATTACCAGAGAGTAAAAATGCAAAATCAAAAGATTTGTTGAATTACTTTCTTATTGCTGCAGGACTGTCGATTGCCCAAAGATGGAAAACACTGTCTGAAATTAACACCTCATTATGGTGGATAATATATGAACCATCGCATTACATGAAAAACCTAGCGGCACATTCGTTTTTTGAAAGTCAAAACAAAGGCTTTTGTCTCCGTTTGGTGGTATTTTCTTGAATACATGAAAAAAAAAAGGAAAATCTACTTTTGTCCCTTCCACAAGTCTCTCAAGAAATTTGGGATAAGTAACATTTAATTGGTGTAATTTTTTTTCATGATGTAATATAGAGCGTTTTATTCTTGGTACTCCGGTGTGTCTGATGTGTTCAGTTATAGATGTATGTTTCTGCATATCTTGTAAATCAGCTGAACCACACTTCTTGTTCTGCACTACTGATGATTATACCTTTCACTTACTTGTCTGTAATCTGCTTTAAAAAGCACCCATAACCAACCAACCCAGACATGCAGTAATGAGGCCCCCAAGTGTGGGATTGGAGTCTCAGGCTAAGACTGGGGAGACCCCAGTTCAAACCTCGTGAATCTCCCTGAAGAATCTCTCCCTCTTTCTCCCCCAGCAAAGTCTACTTCACAGGGTTGTTGTGAGGATAAAAAATGGGGAGGGGAAGAAGTATGCTCACCATAATATGATGTATAGGTTCATATATTGGAGGTTACCAATGTTTTATGTAAGATGTAGGACTTATCCAAACCTCTGTTTGCCCTGCCATCCCCGCCCCCCGGAAAACCCAGGGGTTTACAGCTGAATGGGATTTTCTGCCATTTGTAGAAGTGTTTTCCTATTCCCACCCCCTCCAACATTTCTCCGATGAAAATAGGGATGTCCTATTGAGGACAAGCAGGACATTTTGGAATCAAATCAGAAACTGGGACAGTCCCTGGGAAATAGGGACACTTCGACTTCCGCTTGAGGCGCCACGGAAGATGGCTGAAAATACCACGGGGTAATTAGAGGCTGAGATGGGAGTAATCAGCCTCCCAAAATCTTCCCAAGGTACGGGAAGACACAGTCTCTTCCGCAGATGCCCAACAAACCAGTCCCAATTTCGTAAGGAAGGAGGGGCTGGGGGCACTGGATGGAAATCCCCCAAGAGAGTCTGACTCTCCTGGACGCTGTCTCTGCGAGCGAATCAAGTTCCATTTCTTAAGATGAAAAATTGGATTAAGTTTTGGACATGCTTCGAGCGAGGAGGGAGAAATTACTCTGCCAACTAAGCCAGCCACTGAGGTGCCAAAAAAAAAAGACTGAGTGGAAGAAGGATGAACATCTAAGTTGGTATGTTGGAATGGAACGGAAAGGGGGGCGGGTTTAAGCCTCTCTTACTATTGTTCTTTGCTTCAATATAATATTCGGCAACCCCCCCCCCCCAGAAGTACCGTTTACATTAACCAAGCGAGCCTGGAAAGTTTTGTATTTGTTGACATAAATATGGCTCTAAAAAACTATAAACTGTGTGGAAATAACAATATTATATAATTAAGGCTTTTGATCTTTGATTTGCTTGGAAGAGGATAAAAGAGTCTCCAATTTGTTGATATTAGACAGAAGCAGAATCTCATTAGCCGCTGGAGGATGTTAACATTTTTTGGATGGTTTCCTAGATTGTGTTGGAGGATTCATGACACATTTTTAATTTGGAAATCCACCATGATGGAAGTCAAGACTGAGCTGCAGAATTACAAATAGCCAAAGGGGGAGGTGAGGCTTTAATATGTCATTATATTTGTATTTCCAGTTTGATTTCGTAAACCTGCCCTGGAAAGGCTAATGTTTGATGCAACCGGTCTGGGAAAAATAATGAGCAGACGCTTAGACTTGATTTCATGGGAACTGAGTGAAGATGGCAGCTGAGATGCTGCAAACATATAGAGGGGAATCATAGACATAAAATCCACACAGAAACATATCATTGTTTGTTTCAACTCGCTTGTGGGAACAACTCAGAGGCCGTGAAAGAAGTAAGGTTAACAACAGGAAGAATTAAGAGGAACCATTGGAAGTGACTATGAAAAGCAGTAGAAGTATGAGATGGTCAGAGCCCTCCGAACTTAAAGCAGGGGAAGTCCTATTAAAACATTTATAGTTTGGCAGAATATTTGGATTATTTGATACGTATATGTATAATCTGGAATATTTAATGTGATTTGATTGGATTGTTAAAGTGGAAAATTGAATAAAAATGAATTTTTAAAAAAGAGAAAGGAAAATAGGGACACTTTGGAGGGTATGTGATCAGCCAATGTGGGTGTTTCTCTGTACATGCTCTGGGGCAAGGAGTCGCTAAGTGCTGAATCATTGGAAAGGGAGGGTGAAAAGAGCCAGGCTTCCTACACCTGGCAGTTCAGGGGGCTAGCAACATGTGGACGGCTGCAGCTTGGCAGTCCCTAACCCCAGTCAGCTAGTTGCTGCCCTGAGAAAAGAGTTGTGCTTGCCCTTGCTCAAGGCCCCACTCTGCTTCTAAAGGAAAACAGGGAGGAGGCTTTCAAGCCAAGCTTAGCCCAGCCGCACACGGGGTAACTGAGCGATGCCACCTCTGCCGCTGAGACTTCCTCGCCCTGACTTGCTGGCATTTTCCTGGCTCATCCTTCTTTGTAGTTTTGCAAGGATGGTTGCTCTGAGGAAGCTGCCCCTGGGCTGGGCAGCAGCTGGGGAATGGCTGCATAGATGGGGAAGGAAGGAAAGGTGCAACGTGGTTATTTGTGCGAGAAAGTCAAACCCTCCCTGCTTTGCCTGGTCTGGCTTTTGAAAGGAGATGAAGTGAGGGGTGTCTGGGGGCATTAACAAAAAGAGGTGAGGGACTGGCCACTCTCATTCCTGCCAGTTTGCGTTAAGGGTAGGGGCACTGCTATAATCCTCCTCCTGCTGCTGCTTGGCTTCTCCATGTATTTGGGCTCCTTCAGGACCTTCCCTGGCAGACAGAGGCTTTTGGAACTGGGGAGAGGTGTCCTTCCTGGCCAAAATGCGGGACCAGAGACAGACCCTAGAAATGGAGCAGGAAGCCCAATGGCCAGCCGTTAGCTCTGCAAAACAGGGAGCAAAACTCAATCCAGCACAGCAGCCGCAACCCAGGCTGAGTGTGCAGCGTTCATGCAGCCACAAGCCGTTTTTTCCCTTTATATACCTGTCCCCGATCTCCTGAGACTTGATAGCGAGCACAAACTCAGGAAGGGAGGCTCGATTTCCGCTTGACTCGTGGCTGTAAATCATCTCAGCACCTGCCCCCTGTTCCAGCCTGGAGAGGGAGGTAGGGGGACCGATGATGCGAGAGTATCTGCTTCCACCGCAGGCAGAGACCATCACCTCTGGGTTGTCTAGTGGTTAGGATCCAGTGCTCTCACTGCCGCAGCCCAGGTTTGATTCCCAGTCAGGGTATGTAGCTCAGCTGACAGAGCAGGAGACTCTTAATCTCAGGGTTGTGAGTCCCACTGTGGGCAAAGGATTCCTGAATTGCAGGGGGTTGGTCTAGATCAGTGTTTCCCAACCTTGGGCCTCCAGCTGTTTTTTGGACTACAACTCCCATCATCCCTAGCTAGCAAGACCATGGTCAGGGATGATGGGAAGTGTAGTTCAAAAACAGCTGGAGGCCAAGGTTGGAAACACTGGTCTAGATGACCCCTGGGATCCCTCTAACTCTACAATTCTGTGAGACTGTGATCCTCGGTCCTGTATACCTGAAGGAGCGTCTCCACCCCCATTCTTCTGCCTGGAAACTGAGGTCCAGCTCTGAGGCCCTTCTGGCGGTTCCCCTTGCTGTGAGAAGTGAGGTTACAGGGAACCAGGCAGAGGGCCTTCTCGGTGGTGGCGCCTGCCCTGTGGAACGCCCTCCCAGCAGATGTCAAGGAAATAAACAACTATTTTACTTTTAAAAGAATCCTGTTTTTGATATTTGGTTGGAAGCCACCCAGTGGCTGGGGAACCCAGTCAGATGGGCAGGGTATAAATAAAAAAATATTATTATTTTATGTGGGCAAGCGCAGCAAAGCACCAGCGATCGCTGGACCTTGTGGGGAGGCAGGGCAGCTCATGGGAGGCAGAGCTGAGGGCCCACAGCACACAAAAGTTTGGTACAGAGGGGCATGGTTTGCCCGCCACGAAACTGGTCCCAATTTCATCGAAGGCAGAGTTTCAAGACTCACAGTGCAAGACGAATGCAATTTTTCTTTCAACCCCATTTTTGTTGTTATTTTTAACAGGGCAAGGCTATCCTTGCGTACTCAGAAGTAAGTTCCACTAAGTTCCGTGGTGGTTACTCCAAGGTGGCTGCATCAAGGACTGCAAACGTAGCACCAAAGTACAGAATGACGCCGTAAATCTTCAGTGTTTGCACATGGATTGAAACTGGTTCTGGTTTTGGTTCTGGAGTCTGGAAGAAGAGATGGAGCATTTGGACCAAGTCTGGTTTGCAAATTGTTTATACCTCAGCACGTGCTCCTAAACAAATGAATCAAAGCCTCTGGTGCGTTCCAGATAATGGAAAGTTTCCTAACATAAACTTTTTGTGGCTACTTAATCATTGTTCGAGGGACGCGGGTGGTGCTGTGGGTAAAACCTCAGCGCCTAGGACTTGCCGATCGCATGGTCGGCGGTTTGAATCCCCACGGCAGGGTGCGCTCCCATTGCTCGGTCCCAGCGCCTGCCAACCTAGCAGTTCGAAAGCACCCCCGGGTGCAAGTAGATAAATAGGGACCGCTTACTAGCGGGAAGGTAAACAGCGTTCCGTGTGCGGCTCCGGCTCGCCAGAGCAGCTTCGTCACGCTGGCCACGTGACCTGAAAGTGTCTGCGGACAGCGCTGGCTCCCGGCCTCTAGAGTGAGATGGGCGCACAACCCTAGAGTCTGGCAAGACTGGCCCATACGGGCAGGGGTACCTTTACCTTTACCTTTAATCACTGTTCAAGGAGAGGGGGAACATAATCCTGAGACGTGTTCCCGTAATATGAAAACAAGCCATGTCAACAATATAATCTGGTTCACAGGTCATCCCACAACTTTAAACTTCAGGATGCAAAAACTGCTGCAATCGCCCTCGGTTCTGACGTGCATCTGCATTCTCAGAAAGCTGCAATCTCAGACTTCCACTTTGCCATTTCCTTCTTTTATTCACACATAAGGACTACCATCAAGACAAGCAGAACTTGCTCAAAAAACATGTGGGGGTTTTTTGTATTCTTAAGTGCTGATAGGTTGCATTTAGTCACACTCAAAATATTTGAAATGCCAGCCTCTTGTACTTGCTGCTCGAAATTCACTCTTACCCTGAACACTTAAAACTGAACATGCACCCTTTTTGGGAAAGAATCATGGAATTTGTTGAGTCGGAGGAAACCCTGAAGATCATTTGGTCCAACCCCTGCAATGCAGGAATCTCAATCCAAGCATCTCTGACAGACAGCCATCCAACCTCCAAGGAAGGAAGGAGAGTCCACCACTTTCCATCCCACGGCTGATCAGCTCTTACTGCTAGATATGTATTTCTACATTAGGCCTGCAACTGACACAGGGGGTTGTGTTTGAAAGATCACACCTAAAGCCAAAATTCCATCTGCTCAGAGCCCATTGGGTTCCAGGAAGAAAGAGACTGCTCTTTGTGGCAAGGAGGTCAGGAGGAGAGAGAGGGGGGTCAGAGGAGACCTGTCCACCCTCTTGCCATCTGCAACTACCCCTCCCTCCCGCTAGCTTTGCACCTGCTGCGCAGGGGGTTGGACTAGATGGTCCCTTGTGGTCCCTTTACAATTCTATGATCTCTGCACCTGCAGTCAATCTATACCTCCCAGCTGCAGCACCAGCTGCAAAGCAGAGAGAGTGTCAGGTGTGCGTGCAGGAGCCAGGCCCTGTGACCAGTAGGACTTTGCAGGACTGGGGCCTTCCTAAGTTTGTTCTGGAGAGGCAAGGCGTGGCCTCACAGGTGAGGCCGATTGGTAACTCACAGCACCTGGTGGCAGGAGCCGGGAAGGGATATAAGGTCAGCATTTCCCTTCGACTCTTTGCCACAGCAACACGCTCCCTGCCTTGCTGCGTTTGGCTTCTTGTTTCTTGATCATCGGACCCTTGACTTCTTGACTCCTTGCTTCCTGACCCTCGGACTCTTGGCTTCCTGACTCCTAGACCCCTGTTCCTGCTCCCACTCCACCATCTTGGCCCTGGTCCTGATGTCCCCTGCCGGGACTTCGATCGCCCGTGAAGCAGACCGTGACAGAGAGGGCTGATGCTTTCCCTTGTTGGAACTGCTTAAACTGTTCTTTTAGAAAACTGAATGGGGCTTTGAGGTTCTTCTTTCATATTTCACATGCACCCCACATTAAATATTCTTCACAGAATTCCTGCATGGCAGGACCAGCTGAGCCTTGGGCTTCCTTACAACTCGACAATTCTATGGCTCTAAGCAGGGCTTTTTCTTCAGCTGGAACTCACCGGAACCGAGTTCCAGCACCTCTTTGGTGCCTTACGCCAGCTCTTGGGGCTGTGTGCCGGGGGGAGTCACTGCGTCTGGGGCTCAACAACTTTGGGCGGGTGCTCAGCAAGTTCCACCACCTCTTTCTCTAGAAAAAAACCAAAACCTGGACCCAAGTATCCAGCGGGAACAGTCTCTGCCATTACTTGTAATTATGCCAGTTTTCCGATTCTTTGATCCATGCAAAACTTTCGTGTGGGTTTTTAAAAGTGCATCCTCTGGCAACGTCATGGAAAAGACTTTGCCACATCTTAGAAGGAGAGCCAGACTCTGCAATTAATACAGTATTGGACCAGTATCTGCCAGCCTCTCTCCCGCCCTGTTCTTCAGGAGGACTTACAAGAACCAGCCAACCAGCCTTTATTTCTGTTCTTCCTTTATAGCTCCTTTCCCTGCCCTGACCCGCCATCCCCGCCCTCCAAGCTCCCAGGCTTCTGAAATCTATTTTTAAATGGCTCCACTGATCTCTGCTAATGGCTCAGCAGCCCTGTCTTGCTACAACTTTGGAAACAGAAGCCCCACATTTCCACGGATGCCGCAGGAAGCGGGGAAGTGCCCAAAAGGTACACCCAGGAGAGAGGTCTGTGGAGAGGCTGCTTTATTTCCACGCAAGCTTTCAAGTGGTGAAAGGAAGCCAGATGGGGCACCCAGAGATACATCCGAACTAGCAAGTAGGGACTTGGCAGCTAGGAAAAAGGAAAATCTAATCCTCAAATTCCCTCCCCATTTGGCACTGTGCTTGCTCGCCCCCCTCCTCCCGCTCGGCAACTCTCTCTTTCCCTCCTGGCCTCCATGGAAAGGCAAAGCGGGTGTTTGGGAGTGCTCTGGACAAAAGCAAAGAGCTTCTGCAACCAGGGTGCTCAAACCAGGGTGAGCGCCGCCCTGGTTGCAGAAGCTCTGCAACCAGGAGGAAACGAGGAGCAGGTGGTGGCTCAGCCCAGAAACAGCCAAAGGGATGTTACTGGGCAGAGACAGAGACCCTGGACTCTCTGGAGTGCAAGGCTTCCCCACAGACTGATTCCTGGCTAAAACACAAACCCGCCAGATCGTAGGGTCCAGATGCCAAGGGAAAAATAATAAGTTAAATGTGTTTTTCAATCTACCTAGAGATGAGCAGGAGGGGCTCGGCCAGGGCACTATTTCATGATCGGCTGTAGAACAGGAGCACTGTGGAAACGTTTCTGTTTCTGCCCATGGAAACAGAAGGAGATCAGCGTTTGGGTGGCAGGAGAGAGGGGCTTGGAGGTTTCTGGTACGACATGTTAATACTGTGCCCTCTTGCGATTTCCCCAGGGCTCTGCCATAGTTGCCTTAACTGAGAAGCAGTGCCATAGCGTGGGTTGCCAGTGCCCGGGCTGTGCAGAGGGTGGTGGGAGCGATGGAAACAAATGGAGTATGCATGTGCATTCAACTGCCTAATGGTGCCTGCATCATCCTGGAGATTGCAGCCACAGAGATAAGAAAAGAAGAGTCGTTCCGGTGTCTGGAGAGGTCACTTCCTGGTTCTCATGAAGAAGCCATTTTGAACGGACCCCGGGGTGGAAGCACATAGCTGTGCTGAGGCAGTCCCGGGTGTCAAAATCTGCACCCCTAACCATTTTGAGCCCAGGGCAACTGCAGCTGAACGGGTTTCCCCTCTTAGCCAGCAAACCCCACCCGAAAACTCCAGAACCCCCTTCTGATCTCACCCCAGGCCACTGGGCCTGCTGTCTGTCTACGGCAGGGCTTTTCACGAGGGAGCCCAGCCGCAGCAAGTAGACACGGTGACCTTGCAGGTTGCAGGGCCACAACGGTTCGGTTCACCTCCTCCGGTTCGTGACCCAAGAGAAGGAGAGCTTTTGTGGCCGCGGCTTCTCAGCCTGAAGGAGCCTCACGGTGCGGGGGGAGCGCCACACTTTGATGGCCCCGTCGTCGCTGGCCGTCAACAAGAGTTCCTGTTCCACGGGGCTGAAGGCCACCGAGTTGACCACGTCGCTGTGCTGCAGCTTGGCCAAGCAGACCCCGTAGTGCCGGTCCCAGACGTAGCCGTGGTGATCCTCCGCCCCACTGCGAGGGATACGAGAGAGAACGGTCGTAACAAAGCGGGGACTTGCCTTCTGCTGCAGAGGCTGTTGCCACTGAGCGGCTGCAGAAGACATCAAGATTCTAGTCCTCAGTGTTATTACTAAGTGGCTCGTACCAGGTCTGGCAAATGGCCTTTTACTACAGGGGCAGGTAAATCTTGCTTGCAACGAGGATCCACCTTGTATTAATGGTTGCAAGGTGTTTTTAAATTGTTTTTAATAGTGGGGTAGGAGAGCTGATAAATAACGCCCATATTTTTCACATCTGGTAACCAATGCATTCCTTGGGTTTCAGATAGTACATTTTTAGATGAGTCTAAAAAGCCTGGAACATAATATTTCACAGCCTTCTAGCAGCTGCGTAGGCTCACTGACCAGAAGTAAAGTATTTAGCATTAATTCTGCAATTGTATACTCGATTCTGACCAAACGAAGACTCTGAGAGCAAAATATAAATCAGGAAGCTTTGTTTGTTCAGAATGAAGTATACACTTCCATAGTTAATGCTAAATACAGTCGTACCTTGGAAGTCAAACGGAATCTGTTCTGGAAGTCTGTTCGACTTCCAAAACGTTCGGAAACCAAAGCGCAGCTTCTGATTGGCTTCAGGAAGCTCCTGCAGCCAATCGGAAGCCATGGAAGCCCCGTCAGACGTTCAATTTCCAAAAATAGTTCGCAAACCGAAACACTCACTTCTGGGTTTGCGGCATTCAGGAGCCAAAACATTCGATTCACAAGGTGTTCGTCAACCAAGGAAGACTGTACCTGACTTCTGGTAAATGAGGCACCAGAGCCGCTAGAGGGCTGTGAAAATTTGTGTCCTGGGCTTTTTAGACTTGTCTACTCATATACTGTACTATCTAAAACAAAAGTGGGGCATTGGTTTCCAGATGTGAAATATCTTGGCATTATTTTCCTACTCCAGTATAACACTGTATCCTGCTCTGGGATCTTGCGGTGAAGGGAAGGCAATCAATCAATCAATCAATCAATCAATCAATATCCTGATTTAATTTATACAAGTATCTGTCCCAGATGGCAGGAAGCTCCTCCCCTCCTTTGCTCAAGAGAAGAGAAGAGACAGCCCTTTCGGTTATTGATGTTCTCAGCCTCAAAATCTTGTGATTATGAGGACTAAATCCAACAATTCTTTCTTTAAGGCATCCACACAAGCTGTTGAAACGAGCTCTGCAGCCTGCTCTGAGAGAGATGCATTGAGGGTCAGCCCAAAGGCCAGTCACCTTCAGCAAAGCGGGTCCGCCAGGCCGGGGGCTCAGATGCCAGACTGGACTTCCCCACTGCTGGTTCTGGCAACGGCCTGCAGGCCACTGCAGTGAGGAAGGGCATTCAGGTGGAGGGGAGGGCGGCAGGGGGAAAGGCTGAGTGCTTTCCACCCCACAGATCAAAGGACTCTGACCAGCTTCTCCTGCAGCTCACCTGGCCACGAAGTCTCTGCTGACATCCAAGAATATGAAGAAGAAGTCGTTGCTGGGAGTGTGCGCCCGGTGGCCTCGCAAGGGTCCCTGGGCCTCCGTCATGGTCTTGAGGTCCACCACATGGAGGTCAATCTCCTCAGAGATGGGCGGCGGGTGCAAAGGGTCGGAAATGACAGAGTCCTGGGGCCAGGCCCGGCTGTTCACGTACAAGTACCTGCAGGCGAGGCAGGGAGGAGGAGGAGGAGGAAGAAGAAGAAGAAGAAGAGGAGGAGGAGGAGTTTGGATTTGATATCCCGCCTTTCACTCCCTTTAAAGAGTCTCCAAGCGGCTCACATTCTCCTTTCCCTTCCTCCCCCACAACAACCACTCTGTGAGGTGAGTGGGGCTGAGAGACTTCAGAGAAGTGTGACTGGCCCAAGGTCACCCAGCAGCTGCATGAGGAGGAGCGGAGACGCGAACCCGGTTCCCCAGATTACGAGTCCACCGCTCTTAACCACTACACCACGCTGGAAGAGGGTGGTTCACTGGGGCTCCCCCCCCCCCCCGCTTGCCTCTGCATGACCCAGGAAAGGGCGCAGTTAAGGGGGGAGGAGAAGACCTTTTTCTGCCCCCAATCCTGAAGAGGTGCTGCTGCCAATTGCGGCAGGCAATACAAGGCTAGATGGACCCCCGAGATAAGGCAGCTTCATCCATTCAGCCAAGAGTAGCTAAAGCCAGGGGTCTGCAACCTTTAAGACAAAAAGAGCCACTTGGACCCGTTTCCGAAGAAAAAACAACAACTGGGAGCCGCAAAACCATTGCGACATTTAAAACAAATATATCTCTGGAGCCGCGATCTGACAGCGGGCGGGAAGGTGACGTCGGGACGGTGCGTGACTAACGCACACACCGCCCCCATGCGACGTCACAGCCAGTACAGCGCCCGCCACAGTGGGGAGTGTCAGGGCACACAATGCGCCTCCTCCCCTCACTAGTATCCGCCCCGGAGCCGCGGCAAAGGTGTAAAAGAGCCACATGCGGCTCCGGAGCCGCGGGTTGCAGACCCCTGGCTAAAGCTCAGGACTGTGACCAGCACAGGCGGCGGCAAGGGGGGGGGTGGGCTCCTTAAAGTTCTTGTCACTCTGAAGAGGCTGCCTCTCCTTGGAGACTGGGCTGTCTTTTCTGGCAAGCTGCTCCCCAGTAAATAGCCTTCCATGACTAAGAATGTAGTAAGAGACTGCAAGATTGGGCCAAAGGGGGCCCAATCTAGTCCAGCATCTTGCTCTCAGTGGCCAACCAGATGCCCCAAAGGGAAACCCACAAGCAGCATCCAAGCACAGGAGCAGCCCTCTCCCCTTCTGGGGTTTCCAGGAGCTGGTCCTCAGAAGCACGGCTGCCTCCAACAGAGGAGAGCCACCTTGGTTAGCAGCCACTGACAGCCCCCTCCCCTTCCACGAATTTGCCTAATCCTCTCCTGAAGCCAACCAGGCCGGTGGGTAACCCTGCTTCCAGTGGGAGGGAGTTCCACAGGTTCACTAGGCGCTGTGTGAAGAAGGACTTCCTTTGATCTGTCCTGAATCTCCCAATCACTTAAAGGGTGAGTGGATTTCCCCTTTTAAACTTCCAAAGACCACATTCTCCAGGGTGTCTGTCTAAAACTCCTGGTGGAGGACAAGGATCTAGAGATCACGCTCAGGGTGGCCAAATTCTGTGCGTCTGCAATAAAACTTAGGGAACAAGCTGTACTACCACAATGATTAAGGTTTTAAATGACAATTTTAGGTAATATTTTAGTGATCAAGATTTCATATATATTTTTAATTGCCGCTATATCTGAATTGTCTCTGTTATACCCAATTGCAATTCAATGTATTCCTCTTGTGTTTTATGATTTTCCTGATATTGTGAGCCGGAACTGGTCTGTGACCATAATAATAAAATTCAATGCAATACAATTTCCAGGGTGTGAAACAAGGCAGGGTCTTTCCCAGATACCACTGGGGACCGAACTTGCCTGGGCCTTCTGGAGGCAAATGGGGGTGTGGGGTCTTCTGCAAGAGCTAAGGGTCCATCTCCACCCCACAGCCTCAGGCAAAGGGACTTTCTCATCCCTGGAACCCAACCCTCCTTTACCTGGAGCTTCCGGGGAAGACACCTGGGGAATTTCTGCTGCCTCCTACCCTTCAGGCGAGATTTCCCCCTTCCTCCTCCTTCCATATGGTTGGCAGCCCCCCCCCGGGCCCGCCTCCTTACCTGTGGTCAGGGGAGAGGCCCATGCCGATAATATGCCCATGGAAATCAATGACGTGGTCGAGCGAATCAAAGAACTTGTCCGAGTTTCTCTCCTCTCCAAGGACGGGGCCTGCGGTCGTCATCTGGTGAGGCGAGATCTGCTTAATCCCTGGGGGAGCACAGAGGGTGGGGGAAGAGGCAAGAAGATCAGGAACAACTTTCTGAGGCTAAGAGATGCTCAACCGTGGAACGGTCTCCATCAGAAGATTGTGGACTCTCCTTCCTTGGAGGCTTTTAAGCAGAGGTTGGGTGGCCCTCTGCCATGGATGCTTCAGCTGAGATTCCTGCATTGCGGGGGGGGGGGGGGGAGGACTGGATGACCCTCAGGGTCCTGTCCAACTCTATGATTCTATGGAAATATTATCAAAATAAAAAACCGACACCAGGGTCTCCATTTTTTACACCAGTGTGTCTCTGGCAGTCTTCAGTGTCTGGGGTCAGACCAGAAGGTCCTGCTTTCAGAAAACCGGGAGTATGAAAATGACAACCACCTTCCCTTTTTCTCCCCAGAAACTAATAATAATATAATAATTTAATAATGATAATTTATTATTTATACCCCGCCCATCTGGCTGGGTTTCCCCAGCCACCCTGGATGGCTCCCAACAGAATATTAAAAACACGATTAAATACCAAACATTAAAACCTTCCCTAAAGAGGGCTGCCTTCAGATGTCTTCTAAAAGTCATATAGTTGTTTATTTCCTTGGCATCTGATGGGAGGGCGTTCCACAGGGCGGGTGCCACCACCGAGAAGGCCCTTTGCCTGGTTCCCTATAACCTCACTTCTCGCAGTGAGGGAACCGCCTGAAGGCCCTCGGAGCTGAACCTCAGTGTCTGGGCCAAACGATGGGGGTGGAGACACTCCTTCAGGTATCTTGGGCTGAGGCCGTTTAGGGTTTCCAAGGTCAGCACCAACACTTTGAATTGTGCTCGGAAACATGCTGGGAGCCAATGTAGTAGAGAGGCCCAATAAGAATATAATAATACTATAATAATAATTTATTATTTATACCCCGCCCATCTGGCTGGGTTTCCCCAGCCACTCTGGGCAGCTTCCAACACAATATTAAAATACAGTAATGCATCAAACATTAAAAGCTTCCCTAAACAGGGCTGCCTGAGCCCCACACAAATACCCCCCCTTACCAATCTGGTGTGGGGAGAAGGCGAGGCAGCCGGTGGTGAAGATCAAGTATTTCTTAGTGCTCCCCTCCGTGGACAGCAGGTTCGGCTCGGGGGGCTTCGTCCTGTTCTGTGCCAGGAGCTGGGCGACTTTGGCCTCCATCTGTAGCTCCGTCATGACCGGCCGGACTCGCCCCTCCATGATGTCCGTCAGGAAGCGGCCCAGCCCACTGCCAGCGCTCGCCTGGCTCTCTGCCCCCGAGGAGCCCGGTTCTGGCGCTGCCTTCTGCTTGCCCTGCTGCTGCTCCTCCGCCTGCTCTTCCTCCTCCTCGCTGTCACTGCAGAGGTTGGGGGCCTGGCAGGGGCTCCTGGTCCCGCCCTCCAAGTGCTCCCCATGGTTCAGGAGGAGGTCAGAAGGGTCGTAGCGGCTGCAGTCTGCCACAGTCACCATCCGGATCTTGCTGGCGTTCAGGTTCTGGATCTTGAACAGCCTCTTCACCACGTTCATGTTCTCAGACTCGACACCCTGCAAGCCCAAGAGGAGGGAGGTGCTGTGGGTCTCCTTCTGCTGTGATATTTAAGGCAGCTTTACTTGGCCACAGGGGAAACCACGAAAGGGGAGCCCAAGACACCTGTAAACCACACAGGCTTCTATGCAGACAGCCCCTCGCCTTAGCTTTACACACACATAGAAATTAAGCCGTGCTCTCAGAGCTGGGTTCCTCCTCTCCACCAGGCCTGCTCAAGGCTGAGTTTTCCCTGCCCAAAAAGAATTCATATTGCTAGAGCAAGCAGATTCCCTCAATGATGTCCTTTCCCGTACTTGTTTTTTGCATTTCTCTGCTGCCTATCAAAGCATGCACTTGGATTCTGAATACAGAGGGATGGTGAGGTAGCTGGTTCCTTTTCCCTGCAAAAGCCAACAGCCCCCAGCACCCAGGCAGTATGGCAGGGCAATATTTGGTTTTCTACATTGTGATGCATCACCAGCTAAACATTTCAATATACTGATATATCACAATGCCTGAAATAAGGATGGAGCTGCAGAGAGGCACTGGATGGCTTCAGTTTTCCCCACATTGTGAGTTTTGCATAGGACACACACACCCGCGCGCGCGCGCGCGCACACACACACACACACACACACACCAGGTCATAAATTATGAAACTGGTATCATGATATGGACTTTGAAACTGTTTTCAAATATCTCGCCCAGCCCTAGCGGGCAGCCCCCCCCTCGCCCACCTGGAAGGCGTTGTTCAGCCACAGCACAGAGCAGGAGGTGTAGTTCCCCATACGGTGCAGGTTCCCAGAGATCAGGTGGGTCTCATTCAGCCAGCAGCCGAACACGTCGTAGGGCTTGTTGCGAACCCGGGACAGGAGGGCAAAGTTTTCTGGAAGGAGAAAACGCAGAGAACCTAATATGGCTTTCGTTGTTGTTTTTTATTATTTAAGACATTTAAAAACTGCCTTTTATCTTCCAAGGATCTCAAGGTGGCCACGTGGTTCTCCCCCTCCCCATTTCATCCTCACATCAACCCTGTGAGGTAGGACTGACCCCTATCAAACTGTTGCCGGTTGCTTTCTACTTCGCTCTAAGTCTCTTCCTCCACAGATAGATGTTTCGCAAGCAGCCTTAAAACTATGCCGGGGGTGGGGGGGAATCTGTGCTACAGGGAACCAGGCGGAGGGCCTTCTTGGTGGTGGTGCCCACCCTGTGGAACGCCCTCCCATCAGATGTCAAAGAGATAAACAACTATTTGACATTCAGAAGACATCTGAAGGCAGCCCTCTTCAGGGAAGTTTTTAATGTGTGACATTTTAGTGTATTTTTGGTCTTTGTTGGAAGCCGCCCAGAGTGGCTGGAGAAACCCAGCCAGATGGGCAGGGTACAAATAATAAATTATTATTATTATTATTATTATTATTAGTTCTGCTACTTGCAACGCTCTCCATGTCCCTTGAGTCAAGCGGGGAGGGGACCTCAGCACAGGAAGAGCGGCCAGCTCCTGTGCAGCTTCTGCCGCCTCTCCCCTCTGCAGAGACTGAACTGCTTTCTGCACCTGGCTCCTCTTGCTTGCAAAAGCCTGTTGCCTCTTCAGCACCCAACCATTCCTTCCCCCTCTGACCAGTCCACCACCCCACTCCCCAAGCTCTGAGCCTCCCCCTTCTGTGGCTTCCCTAGGGGGTTCTCTGGCAGGCACTTCCCTCTGTTCCTCCTCATCCAGCCAGTCCTTGACACCAGCAGACTTTGCTAAAGGACGGCAGCTTCCAGGAAGCTCATTCTTAAGCTTTGTGGGGTGACAAGGGAGGAACAGCAAAGCCCGTTGTTTTTTACCCAGATCGATGACAGCGATCTCGCCTGAGGAAGTAGTCCGGGGCCCCACGAAGACCCCAGAGACAAGGAGGAGGGAATCGTCTGCGTTGAACTGGGAGAACTGGGTGTACTTCCAGTTGTACTTCTTCATGCTGGTGCTGTGGAGCAGGGAGAGAGGCAGGCCATTGTTCCAGATCTGCCAAGAGAAAATAGGAAAGAGAGGCCCATCAAGATGGCTGGGCAGCAAAAGGGCAGCTCTAAGTTACTAGTCCTTATCGCTGGGGAGACACACTTGGAAGAGGACGGGCGATGTCCTCTGAGGAGCTGAGGGCCCAATCTTCTGCTTGTCTCTCCTCTGAAATGTTCCACTGTGTCCCAGCGCAGCTTCCCGCTGATATACAATTTCACTTGGGTCTCTAGCTGCTGTTGGACTACAACTCCTGTCATCCCAAAGAGCAGGACCATGTCGAGAGCCTGCTCGACATCAATAATCAGTCTCACGCCAAGTTGGATTCAAAGAGCCTAATAGCCAACCTTTATTGTGCACAGCAAAAAATACATCCTCTCTACCTCCAGCCCAACGCTTGCTCTGCCTGGTACAAGATAAGTAACAATCACAAAAATGCAACCTTGCCCCTGCCCACAGACAAGGAGAGTACTATCCTACGTTAGCCAATCAGTAATCTAGCATGAAGTGTTCACGCGCTCATCATGCTCCAAGCAATATCTCGTGCTGCAAAATCACCCTGCAATAATAAGAACTTTGCTCATGCTCTTATGTACAAGCAACCATTTTCCCACAGGACCAGTTGTCAGGGATGACGACAACAGCTGGAGACCCAAGTTTGGGAAACCCTGGTTTAGATTTTTGTCCCTCTCATGATCAGCAACACCCACTCCAGAAATAGTGCAATGCAGTCAAACCTTGGTTCTTGAACGGCTCAGTTTTTGAACGCTTTGGCTCCCGAATGCCAAAAACCCAAAAGTAAACGCTCTGGTTTTCAAACATTTTTCGGAACTCAAATATCCAACGCGGCTTCTGTTTGAGTGCAAGAAGCTCTTGCAACCAAAGGGAAGCCACGCCTTGGTTGTCAGACGTTTTGGAAGTCGAACGGTCTTCCGGAATGGATTATGTCCGGTGACTAAGGTTTGACTGTATAAAATAGACCATGAATGTTGGTCTTGAGTTGGAGAACTTAGTGTTTCTATGGGAAATCATTGGAAGAGTTGCAGGAATGCAGGAATCTTCTGCCCAACATGAGACTCAAATTCATGACCCTGAGAGGTTAAAGTACAGGACACACAGCCCTGCCTTAGAATGCCTCCCCTGCCCTTTCACAGAACCCTAGTGCTGGAAGGGACCCTGAGGGTCATCCAGCCCAACCCACGGCAATACCTGCCTTTCCTCCAGGAAGGTTTCGGCAGCACACATGAGGCTCCCTCGCCTGCTTATGCCATCCTCACAACAACCCTGCAAGGTTCTCTCCAGGGCTGAGGCGGGGCTCTCCAGCTGGGTCTCTCTGCTCTCAATTCCCGTACCGACGCAGGGATCAAAACAAGCAACCTACCTTCCAGGGTTGCTGTGAGGATTACGGAGCAAAGCTTCAACTGCTTGAAACACAGTGTGTTATAGTTAGGATTCGTTCCCCCTCTGCCCTGCGTCACCTTAACGGTACAGTCCTTGGAGCAGGAGGCCAGCAGGTAGCCATTGTGGGAGAAGCTGAGGTGGAGGACTTGGTCGCTGTGCTCCGCCAACGTCTGAACTTCCACGCAGGGGATGGTGTCGGACAGCCGCTGGAACTCGCCATACCAGGAAGTGGCAGCTGCAGAGGAAGAGGAAGAGGAGGGGGGCAGCAGGACCCACCACCCCTCGCTGAAATTCTGAAGGGATTACCAGACCGCCTCCTTTTCCTCAAGGGGCAGCCGTTGCATCAGGCTGCCTCTCCCTCAGGCACCACCAGCCCCGGAAATGGGCCAGCATTTGGCCATCATAGGAGCAACTGTTCAGAAACTGGTGTCCAGGTTTTGATTTTCCTTCTCCCTCTCCTCCCTCTTTCCTTGTGTGCCATGGTCTTGTTTTGTTTTGTGGATTGTAAGGCTGCAGGGGCAGGGACTGTCTTGTTTTGCTTGTATATATGCTGCTCTAGGAGCCTTTTCAGCAGGAGTGCCTAGCACACATGCTCTAAACCAAGGATAGGCAACCTAAGGCCCGTGGGCTGGATGCGGCCCGATCGCCTTCTCAATCCGGACCGCGGACGGTCCAGGAATCAGCGTGTTTTTACATGAGTAGAATGTGTCCTTTTATTTAAAATGCATCTCTGGGTTATTTGTGGGGCCTGCCTGGTATTTTTACATGTGTGCTTTTATTTGAAATGCATCTCTGAGTTGTTTGTGGGGCATAGGAATTTGTTCATTTCCCCCCTTCAAAATAATAGTCCGGCCCACCACATGGTCTGCGGGACGGTGGACCAGCCCACGGCTGAAAAAGGTTGCTGACCCCTGCTCTAAACAAATAAATGAAATCAATAAATACCCAGAGTCCTAGACTCAGGCAGCATTTCTACTATCCTGCATTATCCCAGCTGGCCTCTCTTTCTGCTGCGATTATCACAGAATGGTAGAGTTGGAAGGCACCCCAAGGGTCATCTAGTCCAACCCCCTGCAATGCAGGAATATTTTGCCCAACGTGGGGCTCAAACCCACAAGCCTGAGATTAAGAGTCGTCTGCTCTACAGGCTGAGCTATCCCAGCTGAAGATCTACAAGTGTTATTCCTTGCTTCCTCTCTCTGCCTTGAGTGCGAGATTCACTCTCCAGTCTGTTTCCAATTTTCCTCATTCCTCAGCTAAAAGCCTCACCTCCAAACTGAGCTGACCCCAGTACGGGGCAACAGATTAGGGGAACAGCAATTACTCTTTTCCAGTTTTGAGGCTGCCTGCTCTGCAAGGGAGGACATACCTGGGTGTCGTGGGACGTCCCGGGCTACTGGATAGTATCTGTAGAAAAGGTCCTTCCAGAGCACTTCGTCCTGCGCCACGGCATGCCACTGCCGGCATACGAGCCCCGCTGAGAGGACGTCCGAGTAGTCCAAGTACAGGAATATCTCAAAAAGGATGCTGTCAGGGAGAACCCCACCGTCCATCGTGGCATCCTGTCACTGCCAAGCGCCCTGCAAGACCAAAGGAAAGAGGGACAGGTTTAGGCAAATGATGCTCTAGAACGGTAGGAGAAGAAGCGGCTATGACGAAAAAGAGAGACAGCGTGGTGTGGTGATTGGACTAGAAACTTGGAAACCAGGGTTCAAATCCCTGGTCACAGTCAGTGAGAACAAGACAGTGCCTGCTCCTGCAAGCTTGCAATCTTCGAGAAAGAGAGACACATGAGAGGAGAAATGGATGAGGATGGAAGGGGGGGGAGCAAACTCAGGCAGCAATCTGTACAATTTCTTGTTGTCAGTGTTAGAAACTGAGATATGGAAGCCAGGAGCTAAATGGCACCTTAAACCATGGTTATGGGAGCAACAATGGAATGTCCCACTTTTTTATGGCAAGAATACAAAGCTGAAAATGAATGAACTGCAGCTAAAATCTTATGTTCATTTTTCACATGGACTAGTCCTTCCTCTGCCCACCCCCTAATATTCTTAAGAGGGTCTCTTCTCCAGTCTTCAGAGTCGCTGGGGTCCTCCTTTCCTCCCACTCTGCAGTCTTAATCTCAAATCTTAGGCGCCCTACTGCGCACAGAGCTCAAAAACTGCTTGCGCTAATGAAATTCACTGTCGCAAAATGCACCTAGAACAATGGGAGTTTCGGATGCCAAATAACTTGGGAATTTGTAGGGGGAAACCCCCTCTCCCTTCTGCTTCAAACCTTGTGAGGCCTTGTCAGCATGTAACACCTCTGCTCAGAGATGTGCACCAGCTGATAATTTGCTGCTGGGCCCAGTTCAAGGTGCTAATATGAGCATATAAAGCCCTTAACAACTTGGGACCAATTTACCTAGCAGATTGTGTGTCTACTGGAGGCCACCGGCCTTCTTCAAGTGGCAGAACTGGCCCTGCAGAACAGGTCTTATGTGGCAAGAACCTGGTCGCTTAATGTGGCAGCACCGGCACTTTGGAGCTCCCTGCCCATTGGGCCCAGGCAGGTGCCATCTGCTAAAAAAATTCCCTGCTTAGATAAGCATCACCCAGCTGCTTAGGAAATCAAGGCCATTGCCATCTGCTTCAGTATTTTCACAATGGTGTGTTTTTTAAAGTAGGGTTGTGGGTTCCCCCTCTATTTTGCAGTTTTATCTTTTTTAAAAATAATAATTTTTATTTGATTTTACAAGTGTAAAATTAGAAAAATAAAAAAATACATATCTACATTTAGAGATTTCTCTGAATCTCCAGACTTCCCACTCTCCCTTCCGTGGGTCCCATTGTCAGTTTTATCTTATTTTTGCTGGTTTTCTGCAATGGAGGGGTGCATAAATGTTAGGAAATAAATAATAATAATTAACAAACCAGCCAAATCTGCCTCCTGCCCCCCCATAGAGATACTCTCCCCATTTCTCCCCCCTTCCCAGCTCCCCTCTTGGGCCTCTTGACTGGTTTGTTCTGGTTCTCAGCCCCCAAACTGGTCCCCCTCCCCCACACCCATACAGACTCCCCTCCCCCTCGCATCTCTTTGGGGACCCCTCCCCCCCCCGGCATCCCCTCCCCCCGCATCCCAGGCGACTCCCCCCACCCTTCCCCCCACAACAACAGACCTCCTACCAGCTGCTTCCTACATCATTTCCGGAAGGGCCCTTCCGCTTCCGGCCGCTGCCGTCAGAAGCCGTCTTCCGTTCCCTGCTCTATGCCTAGCCCCTCTAGGCATCCTTTTTCTGTGGTTCCCTTCCGTCGTCCGCCGCTCTCCCTGCGCAGGCGCGGCGGGAAAAGACGAGCCCGGAGACGCCGGGGGGGGAGCAATTCGCTGTTTGGCCACAAGAGGGAGCTGGGCCGCGGCGCCTCCGGGCGGAATATTGTGCATTGCAGAATCAAAATGGGGGGGGGGGGGTTGGTTTAATTGAGAGAGAGGGAAGGAGAATTCGTGAAGATGGGTCCACATTAAAACATATTGGTCATTATGTTACTGTTCTAATAATTTTAAGGTCTCATTCATCTATATCTCATATATATATAAATGAGACCTTAAAATTCTTATAACAGTAACATATTTTTTAATACAGTATATATATTAGATGTTCATAAATGTACCAAGCAAACACATACAAATATGTAAAACACATGTCCGAAACCCACAGAAAAGTCCTGAAACCATTTTCTCTCTCCCAAAATGACCTCAAATATTTCTCTGCAAGGTCGAAGGAAATGGGAAATCTCCCCATTGTCTCTTCACAATCTTTCACAGAGTGGCTGGGGAAACCCAGCCAGATGGGCGGGGTATAAATAATAAATTTATTATTATCATTATTATTATTATTATTATTATTATTATTTCACAATCCCGTCTTAAGGGCACATTAAAGATATGAATAGGGTGTGAGCCTGTGACCTGTGACCTGGATTCAGGAATGGAATAACAAAAGAGTGGCCAGGATGCCCAGGGAATCCAGTCAAGCAACCTAGCAGACAGGGGGGGGACGACAACGCGCTCAGATTTCTGTTGTAGTCCGCCCCTCCTGTGATGTATGTATGATGTATTGGGGGAGGTGGTCCTGGGATACACCCCTTCTGTGATGTATGTATGATGGGGTCTTGAACTGGAGGGTGGGAATTTCAAAAGTCTGTATAGGAGTTTGCACACCACTGTTCTCGGTTCCTCTCCTTCCTCCTGCCTGTGAGAGGAGCCCCCCCGCTGCAACAGCTTTAATAAAGATCAAGCTTACTAGCTGCTTTGCTTATCAATATTCTCTGGTTGGCCTCTGTTATTTTCTCCTACCGATAGAGAACCTACAAAAGGACTGACTCTATATGGGTTCTTGGGTACCCCATAAGGGAAAAGGAGCAGTTTTTTTCTCATAACTTTGTGTTTATGGGATGTTTCCACAAAACGGCAGCAGTCCTTGCAATACTTTTTTTTAAAAAAAGATATGCAGAAGTTGTTGTTTTTTTAGAGCTAAGGATTGTGGATTGTGAGGTCAGAAGGCCATGAGACAAAGATATGGGCAGAGGTTATAATTGCACAATTAACCATGGCCAGAGAGGGAGAGACAGTTGCCGATAACACAAATATCCTGGCATTGGTACACCAATGAGCACATGCAGAGTTATTTACACTCTGCAAACCAAAGCTAGGTTCAGATTCAGAATTGAGCTTGAACTGTAACTCTGCCATTTCCCACCGAAACCTTTGTTCCACCCTGGTCATATTAAAGTCAATTGTAACAGGGAAAAAGAAGTAAATCCGTTATCCCTCTTGCAACAAGGAAGAAAATCGCCAGGGAAAGAAATAGTAATCTCCACAGAGCCTCCATTTCCAAAGGTACTTTACCCGTGGAGAGCAGCTATTTCCCCCAAGGCGGCAACACCTGTTCAGCTGTGTCCACTGTGTGAAAAGGAATGGGGAGTTAGATGTAGCCTTATCTCAGTAGCCCTGAAACGGAGGCATAAAACTGGGGAGGGCTGTTGCCATCTTCCCTTGTGCGCAGCGTTCCTATTGGGGTAACCTTGGCTAAGCTGGTGGCCTCCAGATGTGCTGCTGGGGGGAATGACAGGAGCTGTGGTCCAAAACAGCTGGATACCCCCCCACCCGGTTGGCCAAGGCTGCATTTGGCCATCTGACACACCACTGTGGGAAACTAAGATGTTGGTCTGATGTCTGCAGGACTCCTTACGAAAGCAGGCACATCACAGCACAACACCTAGGCTAATTGATGGAACTCACTGCCACAAGATAAGGTAGTGGTCATTTTGTCAAGGGGAGGGGAGATTAGGCAAATTTCATGGGGGAAAGGCAGCCTTGATGGTAACTGATCGAAGGCAATATGGAACCTCCGGGTTTGTAGAGAACCAGAGGTTTTGCCATGAAGATCCTGGGATGGGAGGTGGGGTGGACAATCTGCAGACCACTTGTATTTTTATTTAAAGCAGAATAAGACAGATGTACACACCTCTGCTCCACTCCCCTTTTCATGGCGGCGCCAGGGAAGTCTCTGCTGTCTGCTGACAGGCGTCGATTTCACAAGCTAGTGAGACTTTGCTCCCTTTGGGTCAGCCCTGGCTTCGGACTTCCAGGAAGATTCATAGGGCTGGTTAATGACCGACCAGCTCTTGCCCCCTCCTCTCCTGCCCCACAAGCTCTTCGCAGTCCAGCCATGGGTCCCACCTCGTTCCCTTTCGTCCTCTTGCTCCCCCTGCTCCTTGCTGCACCCGGCGCTGCCCGGCGTCCCCAAAAACGCCCAGCCCCAGAGAATCCCATCGACAAGATTGACGTCCAGGCCAACTTCAATCTTGGCCAGGTGAGCAGATGGATTTGGAAAGGGAAACAGAATTTCTTCTGGGGTTGGAGTGGGGCAAGATAGCTGAGCTAGAGCTGTCCAAAACTGCCTCTCAATCATTGGCTGAGATGCTGTGATGTCATGGAATGCCCTGCTTCTTTACCCTCCGGGATGTTTCTAAAGGTGGCTGCAAGATATTAATCGGAGTGTTTTCCTCCCCTGTCACACCAGCCAGTGCTCCTGGATCTCACCGGAAGGGTTTTCGTTCATCTCCTGTGGACAGCAAATCTTCTTTAATATCTGCATCAGAAGGAAGGTTCCAGAAAGAGCTCTGTCCAAATGCCCCGGAGCAATCTGGACCCTGTCCCTGCCCTCCTCTCGCATGACGGCGTTTCTTATAGCCTTGTGCTTTACCTTTCTGTCTCTGTCTTGCACACCTGGCAGGTGTCAAGCCAGTCACAAGGGCGTCCTCAGTCTAAACTGGGTCCACAGGTGAAGGGGAAGCCAGGTGGGAACTTCCCTCCCAACAACCCCTGCCTCTTGAAAAAACATCCCTGAGATTGTTTTCGTTGTCGAGAACCTCGCTCCATAATGTGATATTTACACACTGGCGGGATATGGCACACCTTGGTTCTCAAATTCTAAATTTGATCCATGCCAAGTAATTCCATTTAGCTTAGATAATTTAAATCCACCTGCCACACCCCATGACAAAGTTTAAAAGGCAAAGGACGGAAAATCTGTTGGTTGTTAAGGTGATACAAGACTCAATGCTTTTGCAAGTTGTCTATGCTTTCCAGTGTGATTTGGGGCAGAAAAGGCTAATGTGGGGACCTGCAGGTGGTGATGGACAGCTCCCATCATCTCTGACCTTTGCTGGGGTTTATGGAAGTTGTGGTCCAAAACAGATGGAGGACACCAGGTTGGATATCCTTGGTTTGGAGGAACAAACAAATGAACTCCCCCCCCAAAAAAAAATCGTATTTTTTTTAAATCGTTCAACAATATTGTTAGTGTTATTTACACTATCACACTCAATGGGCGGTATCCAACCAAGTTCTACTCAAGAGGATACACACTGAAATTAATGAACTGAAGTCAGACTCATATCCATCCATTTCAGAGGACCTACTCTGATATACACCCCCTCAACATTCTCCGATGGAAATCTGTTGTTGTTGTTTAGTCGTTTAGTTGTGTCTGCCTCTTTGTGACCCCCTGGACCAGAGCACGCCAGGCACTTCTGTCTTCCACTGCCTCTTGCAGTTTGGTCAAACTCATGCTGGTAGCTTCAAGAACACCGTCCCACCATCTCGTCCTCTGTCATCCCCTTCTCCTTGTGCCCTCCATCTTTCCCAGCATCAGGGTCTTTTCCAGGGAGTCTTCTCTTCTCATGAGGTGGCCAAAGTCTTGGAGCCTCAGCTTCAGGATCTGTCCTTCCAGTGAGCACTCAGGGCTGATTTCCTTCAGAATGGAGAGGTTTGATCTTCTTGCAGTCCATGGGACTCTAAAGAGTCTCCTCCAGCACCAGAATTCAAAAGCATCCATTCTTCGGCGATCAGCCTTCTTTGTGGTCCAGCTCTCACTTCCATACATCACTACTGGGAAAACCATAGCTTTGACTATACGGACCTTTCTTGGCAAGGTGATGTCTCTGCTTTTTAAGATGCTGTCTAGGTTTGCCATTGCTTTTCCCCTCCAAGATTTCTCTGATGAAAAGAGAGATGTCCTAGGTTGTCCCAAGTTGACTCTCTCTCTCCCCTCTTCCAGTTTGCAGGGAAATGGTTCCTGGTCGGGGTGGCCTCGCAATGCAGCTACTTGAGTGAGAACAGCCACCGGCTTGAA